CACCTAGCATGAATCACCGCCTAAAGTGGAACCCGTAACAAAATCTAGCACATTGCTTCTCAAGCGGTGGGCCGCGAGATCGGCCAAGAATAATTTTGTTAATATAATGTTTTTTAATAAATGTGTCATTCCATCGTAAAAATTTCTTCTCCTTTTTTAATCACTCCCTCCGAAATTTATAACAGGATGGTTGATATTCGGCTAAAACCCCTCAGCCCCCCTCCCCGTAAAATGGACACGAAATTGAGTGATTCGGGGGGTTCAAAAAAGGCAAATATCTATCACTCCTTCGCTTGCTCACTCGCTTGTAAAGTACGTTATTAAATTTGGGCGGAGGGAGGGGGGCACAATGATACCTTCAAAGGCCACTGCATATTAGCACACAATTTGTTCTCTATTTTCATGTGTCATGTTTAATTGTTTGTTTATCTCATGATTTGTAAGGTAGGCCTCAACAAATTTCTATCAGCCAAAGTGGGCCTGGAGTTTAAAAGGGTTGAGAACGGTGATCAAGCAGAATAATCATAAACCATGGTGTACACTGATAGCACGTATAGAGAAAAAGGAGTTCTAAAGGGTTCTTGAAATTGCGCGGTGGTTGTAAACAGAGTCGTACTCCTCATGCAAACCCTTTGAAGGCTCCGTAAGTATCATTGACTTTTCATTAAAAAGAGGTTCTTAGTGGCATAACGTTTTATTTGGAGAAGGGGTCCTTTGCCACCAATTAGGTAAACATGGAGTTAATACATCATGCAAAATAACATATGAGGGTAAAATTAACTTGTTTAGCTTCATAATTGGTGGGGAGGGGGGGGGGGGGGGAGGGAGAACATCTCATTTTGTTTCGTATTCATTTCATCAGAATGAAAGCGAATATGACTTGATTGTTGAGTGCCGCACACTGATATTGAGAAGAGTTGTCTGGTTGTTTCGTTAACGAAACCGTGTCACAATAGTTCCCCTTTAGGGTTTACGGGACAAGGCTTAGAACCTTTAAAGGTTCTATTTGCAACATTTCTTTTCTTAGAGTGTAACATTTCTATGTTGCATGTGTAAATTGACATCACTGGCATGCAGCGTAATCGCTTAATAATTCACTTTAGGAGGAAAACTTCACGGCAGCTCACATCGATATTAAGAAATTCCTCAACTATTTTTTTTTTTTAGCAGATGTTTCTGCATTTATTGATAAATCAAATATAAAACATTCAAATAATAATAATAGTATATAATATAATTGATTTACATCAAGAGTGACAACTTAATACACACAAATTTTTATTTTTTTTAAATGCATAATTGAAAGCTTGAAAGTATGGAGGTAAGTAAAAATAATCAAGATAAATGCAGAGGCCAACTATCATAAGCAAGGAAGCTTGAGTCGATAGCAGCCGGGAAAGGGGGGGGGGGGTACATGGCGCTGTTTTAGGAGAATGTAGGGGAATAGAGAGTCACATATAAAGATTTTGTTCAGAAAGTATCTGAATAAAAAGTGGAAAGGAATTAATAAAAGAAAAAAAGAAGAAAAATGTGCAAGTGTGTGCAAGTGGGTGTGTGCAGGTGAAGTAAGTGTTCGATTCGTATTGTTATTGAACTGGTCATCTAAAATTAATTTAAATAAACAATCAAAACCTCTGAGACCCTTATGATGTTTTTAAATATGTAGATATTAAATATTTTTTTCATCGATGCTTTGAATGAATAAAAAGTTGCAGAGTGTTTAATATTGTCAGGTAAAGCATTCCAAATGTCTGGACCATGATGTCTTATCGATTTATAGGCCATAATAATTTTGGGGTTTGTTAAGTGGAAATCGGATGAGTGTCGTGTGGGATAAGAATGTATATCACTATTGTAAACAAAAATATTTCGAAATGCCAAAGGTATAGTATTTATCCAACATTTATACATAAAGATTGCAGTTTGAAAACTGTGAATGTCAGCGATTTTTAATGTTTTTAGTTTACAAAATATTGGATCAGTATGGGCTAAATAATGTGACTGTGTACAAAGACGAAGTGCTTTCTTTTGGAGACGATATATTAACATAATTTTCATCTTACTACTATTACCCCAAACTATGTTACAATAAGATATGTATGACAAAATGAAGGAATTGTAAAGCATAAATAGTGACTTTTTTGATAGATAATATTTTATATAAAATGCCTATGCTTCTCGAGACTAGCATGCAAATGTTGTTAATATGACTATTCCAAGTTAGGTTTGAATCAATCATTACACCTAAGAATTTTGTAACTTCTTTTTCAATTATGGGCATGTTATCTATAAAAATATCATAATGAAGTACATGTTTAGAGTGTATGTTTTTTAAATGAATACAATTAGTCTTATTAATATTTAAAGAGAGTTTATTGGATTTGAACCAAGACGATAATTTATTTAGTTCTAAATTGAGGGTTGTAATAAGAAATAAAAAATTAAAAAAGTCTTTATGCGAATAAAATACGTTGGTATCGTCTGCGAACAGAACATATGTTAGGAGTGGTGATGCATTAACAATATCATTCATATATACTAAAAACAGTAGGGGACCTAATATGGAGCCTTGTGGTACTCTGCATTCTATGGTGGAAATATTAGATGTTGTAGATTTAAACATAACATATTGATGTCTATTACGCATAGTCTTCAAACCAAGAAAGTACAATCCCTCTAACTCCATATGCTTTTAATTTATGTATTAATATACGATGTTCCATGGTATTGAATGCTTTCGATAAGTCCATAAAAACACCTACAGGGTGTTCTTTTTTAGAAAGGGAATCAGTTATTTTGTCACATAATTGTAGAATGGCATAATCAGTTGAGTGGTTCTTTCTAAATCCATATTGATTAGGAATTAAAAAGTTATTGATATCTAAGAAAGAATATAATCGTTTATATACTATTTTCTCTAATATCTTTGAAATGCTTGGTAGTAAAGAAATTGGTCGGTAGTTTGAAACTTTAGAGTGATCATCCTTTTTATATATCGGAATTATTTTTGCAACTTTTAGTGGGTCGGGAAAAACCCCTTGGGAAAAAGATAAATTAAAGATATGTGATAACGGAGAAGCTATGAAGTGAATTATTTGTTTTAATAAAGATACACTTAGCTCATCGTAGCCACTAGATTTACTGCTTTTTAATGAACGAACAATTTTTAAAATCTCTTGAATATTTGTTGGATTAAAAAATAAGGATTGATTAACGTTATTATTTAAGTATTTGAAAAAATCATTCTTTTCATTGATTATTTTGAAAGCTAAATCCTGTCCAATATTAGTAAAGTATTTATTGAATGCCTCAGCAACATCATTTGGGTCTATGTGATGCCCAATATCATTAAATTCAATATTATTTGGACTATAAAAGGACAACTATGCAAATAAAGTATGTATAAACATTAAAATGAAATGGAGAGTTAAAATATCATAATTTACTTGTAATAACCCACAAGAACAAACTCCAAATTCTACTGTGCACTGACACATGCAATGGCGTATAGCCAGGGGCCCGAGGGCACGTGTCCCCAAATAATATTGCAACAATTGAGAAAAAAAGGTGAAAGAGAGAAAGAAAGTTTGCATCAGAATTTAGACAAATAAAGTATGTTCTCTACGAATGTCTCCAACCTCCATTGTGAACTTTGATTTGCATCATCACCAATCGATGGTAATCGAATTACTCCTGGTCTAAGGTTCAGCGTGCGTTAATTCATAAACTGATCATCTTTTTTCCCCGCCTAATTTAATTTTCGTCTCGCTTTATTTCACGTTTCTCATCTCTGTTTTCTTCTCTGGAAGATTTCTGTCAACCAATCTCCATTCCGTTGCTATGGTTGCACTGGGGTTTCATTTTCTATACGTAAACATGAATGTTCACAAAGGTTATCATTTTCATCCATTTCATATAATTTTTTCCATGGACAAAATAAATCCCGAATCCTACATTAATTATTGTTCAACGTGGAGTAATTGGTGCGTGCTTAAATGAGAGCGAGATCCTTTCGCTGGCAATATTTCGAAATTGAAGTTCACTCTGACTAATTCTATGGAGTTGATTTTCTGCATTCTAAGCAATGAATCAATGAAGTATCTTATAGATCAGAAGGCGTGCATGGGCCTGGGAATGGCTATCGACGATATTTAAAGTGAAAGGGCACCCAAAATTTGATGAACAATTTTATTCTCCTTTTCTATTCTTTCTATCTATTTTTTATTTTTTGCTTCTTAGAGGACTTTGGAGTAAACAGACACACCTTGAAATAAAAAAAAGGCTATAGGATGACGATGAAGATGTTGGTGAATGCGCTCAAGAATCGGTCTCCCATGGTCCTGACAGAATAACTAAACCCATTGCTTGCAGGAACCAGGTGGCTCTGGTACTAAATCCTATGGGGATGAGATAGTTCAGTGGTCAGTGAGTTAACACACCGACCACTGAACTATCATCGTCATCCTATAGCCTTTTTTACTAGTAGAATGAGAGATACCGGTGTGGTGCACTTCATTATTTGAACCGCCATAATAACCAACATTGTAAAGCGATCACTTATCCACAAGACCACTCTGCCTCACTGCGAAAACGAATCAATGAATAATTGTTGCGCATCATCCTAAAGATCTGGTGGTTAACTCACCAAGATGTAGTGGAATAAGAAAGACCGATGTGATGAAATTCATCATAATTTTGAACCTTTATAATAACCAATGAATCAATGAATCATTTATTTAGCATCATCTTGTGTGCACTTGGGTTTTTACAGACGTGTATCAATCAGATATGATTATTTACGTTTGGGGACGGACCTTTAACGACACAACAGAGAGACATAGAGCTGTAATGGCAGCTAGGCTAAAGCCGGGGTAATAATAAAATGCGCCTCGGAATAGAATTTCTAGATAGACGGCGCTATAGAAATGCCTATTAATATTATTATTATTAAAACCGCTGGACCAACTCACATCTCCCTAAATATCAGAATGTGAACTCACCAAGATGGAGTGGAATAAGAAAGACGGATGTGATGAAGTCTGCAGCAGCCAGGCTGACGATGAACATGTTGGTGAGTGTTCTCAAGGAGCGGACACGAGCCACTGTGAACATCACCATGAAGTTACCGAAGATTCCTAGAACTGCGATCACACCGTAGCAGAACTTGATCCATACCTGCATTGAGACAAAAAGGAAAACATTGGGATGGGGGTAAAATAAATAATTACATATAGCTGCAATCACTTTTCATTACCATGTATTACAAAATATTAACCTACGCTTGTAGAGAGAGAGAGAGAGAGAAGAGAACAAATATATCTTACTTAATTTACGAAAGAGCTGCGATCTTTATTTTCAGGGATATAAACTTGACCCATACCTGAGAAGCACAAACAATAGCTAATCGTCATCATCATTGAGTTAATGTAGAGATGCGATAAACATGATAGGGGTGACTTTAATGAACCTAGTGGAATTCGATGGACGTAAAACCAACCAAAATGTGGAGATATAATTATTCCCTCGTAAATCGTCTTGTGTCTTTAATTTTATCATTTAAAAATATTAATAAGTTTACAAAAGAAGAACAAACTTTCTTATAAAAAAAAATAAGAAAAAATCACAATGGAGTTACGCCTCTACAAGAATATCAACCATCGATCCATATTTTGCGAGTGAGCAACTAGCGAGCCAAAAAATGACACTTTTTATAACGGTATTAAAAGATGTTATTTCCTCATCAAAATACACTAGATTAAAAAAAAAATATTCGCCGCATCTCGCTGCTCAAACATTTGGAGCTTAAAAGCCTGAGACCCCCCCCCCTCCCCTCTCTCCAAAGTATTATTACACATTATTACATTTGTCTAGATTATAGACTTTTCATTAACATTACGAAAAAGGAAAACGTTTTGAATTGGTCACGTACCAACATTATTTTTGGAGGCATCTATAAAATCATGTTTAAACGTTTCAAGGCCGGCTATCTGCTCTATTTAAAAATCCACAAAGCAATAATTCTTTTGCTAGGCATTATAAACTGTCATCCATGTAATAGAAGGATAAACGGACCGATTCCATAGTTCCAGAGTTATTTCATGACCTTTCACAATAAATTAATCAACTTCCCGTCCACCGTATATTGATATCTTGTAATCAGAATTGCAATTAATCATGAAAGTTATCATAAAATAACATATTTATGAGCTTTCTCGATTAACTAAACACATACTGATACATCAGATGTACTAAAATTAGAGTTTATGTATAGACTCCCTCGTGAAGCCATCAGAAAACCATAAATAATATATTGTCTTTTAGTTCTGACCCAACAATTATTGTATTGGTATATTTAGTGTACATGTATCATTCAATGTATATGTCACGTTCACGACACTCCTGGGGAAGGCGTTCATTTTCAAGTTCTGGCCCTGAACTGTGGAACTCACTCCCTCCTCACCTCCGTAATGAGAACTCCTATTCACAGTTTAAGTCTTTGTTAAAAACGTTTCTGTTCTCAACATATTAGTTTGTTTAATTAATTATGTCTTACATTGTACTACCCTTATATAACTTGATTTACTGTAATATGCTTTGTATTGTATTATTGTATTATTGCAAATTATGTCCTGAAGTATGTTAAACTGTAACTTATGTGTATTTTACTTTCTTTCTTGAATTCTTGCCCACAATTATACAACTTCCACACAACTGCGCCAGGAGTGTCATTTTTGACAGACATGGCGCATTATAAATGCTCACTATTATTATTTATTATTATTATCAGTAATTACATGACTACGTGTTCTGTATTTCAAAAATAGTGGATCGGTTTATGGATTTCGATATCAGAATGACTATCATTCAGTTTATTTTCGGGAATTTTCCAAATCCGTCAATGATCTATAAAAATTAATGCATTTTGATTTACGACTGAATGTTTGTGATATTTTTATCAGCACTCACTCATATTGCGCCATTGGCGCCATGATTTTATAATATTATACCAGCTCTTTATTCGCATGACTTTCTAGACTTCTTGATAATTAGTTACTCATATTCACATCCATGGATGATGCTTCTAGAGCCTGTAATGTTTGGTCTTTTCATCTGACTTCTATCAATGTATAGAAGAAAAATTACTAAACGCATTGGCTGGCGAAACTGGCCCGTGCCCCCCCCCCCCCCGACTTTTGCTTGACAGAGATTTTGTTCAATATTTTAATTTTGTCCACCTCCTTATTACTGCCCCTGACGTACGAGATTCATGGTTATATTCGTTAAAAAAGATTTATAAAATGACGCCAGTGTTGTGTCTCCATCTCATTTGAATACAAAAAAGACGCAACATGATTCTGCACTAAACAATTTTCAGGTGTAGGCCTATAATATTAAGTCGTAGCATCTTCCTTTGGCCAAGACGAAATATCCATTCAAGGTGTTAATGTTATGTGACATAAATTGTCAATTAACTAATGAAAAAACTCCTCTACGTCAAGCTCTCTCTCTCTCTCTCTCTCTTCTCTCTCTCTCTCTCTCTCTGAGTTTGGCATTTTCCTATATTTGCAAAATGCAATCACAAAATAAAACCAACAATAACAAACAAATACCGAAAGGGCAATAATATATCCTTAACATACAAACGCGTTAAGATAAATGTTAACCACTATTATTTTCACCCCCACAAAAAATGCAAATAGAACCAGCATATCCCCAGCTTATATTACATAATACAATGTAATTCTTTGTTCATGTTATTAATATTAGAGACTTAAAAGTGACAACGCCGCTATTAAAATCTATATTTGACCAAGTGATAGAAGAAATACAGATATGAAACAACAACAAAATACAGAATTTATCCCTACATCGCAACGCTTTACAAGAAATATTAACCGCTTTTACTTTTACCCCCACAAAAAAAAAATGCAAAAAGAACCAGCATAATCATTTATCCACAACTTCTACTACAGAATACAGTAAAATTCTTTACTCATGACTGTTATTAGACACTTAAAAGTGGACAACGCTATCAAAATCAAATTTGACTAAGTATATTAGAAGAAATAAAGATATGAAAGCGGCAGAATTCGAAAAGTTTCTCACCTGGTCATCAAATCCAGAGGACCATCCCGAATTATCATTCGGTTGAACTGTTGAAGACGAAAGAACACTCATTGTCGTAGACTCCATGGCAGTGGTATCATCGGGAAGCGAGGCCGTCACATCCCCGGCCGTAGTCGCTAGCTCGCTGATGGTGAGCGCAAGAGAACTAGCTGGCGAGAAAGTCGACATTTTAATGTTGGAATAAAAGAAATTTAAGAAGGAGAAGGCTGGTCTCAAATCAGCTCGATTATCAAATCCTGAAGATCTCACGAAAGCATCCTCTGTCGCAAATGCTGAATAAAAGTAGGCCTATTTTCATGTTCCATGATATTGCAATGATGTTCTGGTACGTCCTAAAAATCCACCTGTTCCTTCTCCGCTGTCCATTTAGAAACTATTCATCTTTTGATTGTAGACCTAGCTACTATGCGTCGTCCTTATGTTGAGGCAAGATAACACCGTTAAAATGTGATCAGATATCAGGGAAACAAAAGTATATGACACGGATTTTTCCAGTCCAACAACGAGAAGTTAGAACAGCTCTGCAAATTTCGAAAGTGAGAAATGCAATCAATGATCGCTCTAAGCATGCAGCCTAACAAATAAACCCGAACGGACGACGATCCTCAGTCGAAGTACTTATTTCTCTCGACATCCACCTCTAACTCTAAGTCAACATTCTGCAAAATCGATTTTTACTTAGATAATTGACTTCTCTGCCATTTCTGCTTTGGAATCGTCCTTATAATTTAACACCTGCAGCGCGTACTCGAAATGATTTGTAGAATAGGCATACTCCGGTACTCTTCGCATTCGAAAATGTGCATTTCGTCCATTCATCTGTCGACCAATCGTCACGCGGACGTATGTGTACGTAGGAGTTTGTCCAACCAAAATGATTGAAAAATTCCGTGCTAGCTTATAGAAAGCAAGACAGTTTGTGATTCAACGTTTGATGTCCAATCACGTCCCGAAACGGTACGTCAACGAACTCGTTATATTATGACGTCACAAAAAGTGTAACATGTTATGGCGCCTTTTTTACTCTATATTCAGCCCTTAAAAGGATGTTCGAATTTGACATTAAGATAATGTTTTTCTAAAGTTGTGCTCTACTTCTTTTTTAAGCTCTCATTGTGTTGACAGATGATAGGGGAAATTAAAAAAGTTTAATGATTTATGATCTGACAAAAAACACGGGCACAACATTTTTCCTTTTGTTCGCCTTTGAAAATAACATTCTGTCAATATGAAAGAAAAGGAAAGAAAAGTGTTCAAAGATATAATTTTGTTTAACCCCCTTTAAAAAAAAATCAGTGCATGCATTTCTATTCCACTTGAGAGGACATCTTTTTAGCCCTCCTATCCCTCCCCAATACAACACATCTTTTTTCAATCTGAATTAAAACACTAATGTGGAAAGACGGTTATTGTAAAAATTGATATAACTTAAATGTAAAATACCCACAACCCGCTGTTCTGGCCGCTAGGATGAATGTGATTGGTGACTCTAAAAGTCTTGAATAATTTACGAATACCTTCTTTCATCAACTTCGCCTAATCATTCCGGTCGAGGCAACATTTATGGGGAAAAAAGCAACAGTTTAATAACTGATGAGCGCGTTTTATCTGTGTTCATTGTTTATCTCATTCTAGATCTATTGAAGCCAAACATACAAATGCATTGGATTTGTATATTGTATGCAATATAGACTTAAAATGGAGCCGGTAACATTGTTGAAGGTTGATGATGCCTATAGTTTTTATATGAAATATTTTTTTGCTTTGTTGTTGTTGTTGCTGCTGGGATTAAAATGATACCGTTTTAAAAACCAGTAAGATATGATTTTACAAACAAAAACACATGCATTCTAAAAAACATAATCAACATTTTTCAACATGTGCCCTCCATAATATTTCCTTTAAATAAATTGTTGAATATGTTTGTAAAATTACATTTTCCTTTTTGCGTATATAAAACATAAGAAGCTAAATTAATTAATAGATTTTTAAAACCTACATATTTTGAATTAATATAATCATATTGCCTGCCTACAATTTTATAACTGTAATTCTTTTTTCATTAACAAACAATACTTCTATACTTCAATACTTATTCCAAAATATTTTTGAGTAATCACAATCATAAAATAATTGATAATGATTTTCTGTGCATTTGCACTACAAACAATAATCATGATCAGATTTGTTGAAACGATATTGATATTCTTCACTTTTCTTTGTTGGAAATCAAATGGGGGTGGGGGTGGGGGGGGGGGTGTTGAGTACAAAAAATAGCGCTCACTACCCCCCCCCCCCCCCCCCCCCCCCCCGCTCATTCCGCGGGTCGACCGAGTCGCAAGTCGCCACCAAATATTTTCAACACGAAAAAAGAAGAAAACAATGTGCTCACTACCACCCCCCCCCCCTTTCCTTTTTCATTCATGTCTTTATTTAACCTTCCCTTCCCTCTCATTTTTTTCCTTTTCTTTGCTACTTTTTTCTCCATTCCAAACTCCACCATTATTTTCTCCCTTTTCACTCAATCTCTTTCATTCTCCTTCCACTCTCCTCGTCTCTTTCATTTTGCCACCTCCTTTTCCCTTCCCCCTCTCTTTCTCTCTCTCTCCCTCCTCCACTCTCTTTCATCATGTTCATATTAATAAACAAAAATACAGTTGAAGAATAGCTCCCATCAATGATTTTGTTCGGGTAGATTAAGGTGGATTACGTGAAAATGTGATATTCTTAGAGCATATCAATTGTGTTCTTTGATATCCAGGCCAATCTGCAATTTACCCAAGTCCAGCTTAAGCTCACTCCAATCAAATGTCTTGGTTTGACATTTAGCTTTACCTGTACCAGTATCATTAGCACAGATACAATTGTATCTTGAAATAAAACCAATCAGCAAATATTTAAAAAAATAAAAATAAACTAGTACACGGAAGAAAAATAAATTATTGAAAGCTTGCTAATAGTGTACAAAACACAAGAATATTTATTAATCCAACCTATAAAATGTAGCATCCATATGTATAAGTTATAATCAAAATGGTGGAGGATAAACAAATGCCTACAACACTGACAAAATAAGAGGGGTACAAAGTTTATCAATAATCATCTGTTTGGAGCAAGAAGAGCATTAACTAAAAGACTTTAACACATATTTAAAGCCCTTCCAAGACGTTGTGGTCTGCTTATGAAATAGTGATACACATAATAAAGTCCTTCTTACATCAAAATCAAATGAGTTACTTCAATAAAGCGGCAGTAATCTAAAGTACAATGTATAGTGGAAAAATAATGCAGGACTTCAAAGGGAAAATATTTTTACAGGACTCGTTCAACATCGTATTTTCTGAGCCACAGTGAAATGAAAAACGATAATTCACATTATTTAAAGATATCAATAAAGACAAACTGAGAATCCTTGGTTCATAGAAATGAAAAATAGAACTAATGAAATCTTTAAAATTTTACGGAGCCAGAAGGGTATTAGCTCAAAGAAATTAACCCAGAATTAACACCCTTCTAGATCTTAATAGACAAAAATATGTTTTTCGATCTAAATCAACATTTCACAAATATTGTGCCAGACAACCATTCACCATCGTATGATATATTTTGTATGATTATGTCTGTATTAAATAATGTCAATAAATTACTCAATAGATAATTACTGTAATTATGTTCTCCTTCAGTAGTATGTAAAGTTAATTCGATATGACATATCTTCATGAAAATGTTGGCATAATTACACCATTTCATCAAAACAGGGACATTTCAGAAATTATGGTTATTTTGTGGTATATAAGTTCTGGCATTCAATTTGAATAAATGAACTGAATCTTTAAAAAAAGGTTGTTAGTGGCGAGCTGGGATTTGAACCCTCAACCCTTGTATCGACAGCCAAGTGAACGAACCACTATATCATGCCATTCACTAAACACATAGAGATTTTTTTAAAGGCTCTGCTGTAAACTGCCATGGTTTCCTGCATTATATGTGAACAAGCCTTTAATAAGGATCGACAAATATCAACAACAACAGAACTAAAGAATTATGTGCATATTGAAATTATCCTAAACCTACTTTGCTTGATGGTAAGTATTTACACTGTACAAGAAAATAGTGCCGTGCATGAAAATGTACAGTAACATAACACCAGAGGATGGCCCTTAAAAGGGCCGTTTGGTTCTTGCACTCCAGACTCTTTATCACAAAGAAATCACACATTGCCGGCACCGATCTCATTCAAAATGACAATTTCACAAGATAACAAAGTTTTTCCGAGCAAATGTAGGCCTACTTGAGCTGTGCTCGTATTTCTAAAAGCTGTGGCAGTATCTCTTAATTAGACAGCATGTCTGTTGAACCATTTACCAATTGTCAACTGAATTCTCTCATTACCATAGACAATGGGTTATGATCAGATAGAGTCACCTACTGACCCTTGAAATGTAGCGCATAAAAATGTATTGTGCTTTGACAATTTGTGCTGCATAAAAAATGTTTATTTTAATATAAGGGTTTATTATACGTCAGCTTATTGACTATTTTAGCACATTTTCATTCTTTCCACTGAAAATAACATTGTCGGGTAACAAACCAATTGATCACATATCATAGATGTTACAAAAGAGAAATACAAGTCCTTCTAAAGAAGAAGAAAAAAAGGGAGGAAAAAAATCACAACTAGGAGATATATGGTAGTACAGATCTTTGGATGTAAAGCCGTGTCTGGAACACCGAGGCATTATCGTCTATAAACATCATAATTGCATAGAGGCGAAATCAATAATATCTCAATCTAGAGTTGTCTATGCCAATATTCTGATTAAGGTTAATAAAACTATTAATCATACATGTTAGTTTCAAACTTTTGAGATACATCCAAATCACAAAACAATAATGGCTTTAACGTTCCCGTACACATTTTTATGTTCTCAACACATCTTTATTTTGTCCTTATAAAACATCCCAGGCAAGGGCGATATACTAGTAATGTTCTTAGCATCCCATGAAACAAACAATGGATAAGAGATATAGTCGTACAGATAACGTATTAACTAGACGTACATGGAAGCCATCTTGGTTGCTATGGAGTCACCCCATAATGCATCAGGAGAATGAAATTCCTTCCTTTTCTAAAATACCTTTATAATAAGAGACTTGAGGAATAACAGTCCTTAAAGAACAACAAAAAGATAGAAGATTAAATAGTACAGATATTAACGTAATGGATTAACTAAGTGGACATGTCGGCCATCTTGGTTGCTATGGAGTCAAGTTCAAATGCATCCTCTCAGCATTGGCAGTCAAGTGGGTCATCTCCTCCTCGGTGTCGGATGACTCGTTGTCGCTGAAGGAGGTCCTCGGTGAGAGACGGCAGCCGCGAGAGACGTACTGGTTGAGACGGTTGATGGATTGGAGGATGAGACCGAGGTACGGAGGAGAGGGTTTCATGGGACGAGAGATGTACTCTGGGTGATACTGTACGGCAACAAAGTACGGGTGATCTATAGAGGGAGACAGATACATGTAAATTTAATAGTACAGTGAAACCTGTACATAAAGACTGGTAATGGGAGACAAGAAAAGTGGTCTTTATAGGCAGGTTCCTTTAGTACATGTTCAAATGAGAAACAATTTTCAAGGGAAAAAAAAGTGGAGGTCTTTATAGTCAGGTTTGACTGTATATACATTATCAATATATAAACACCATACTATTTAAGAATATTCAGATGAGCTGTCAAAGTTAGGTTTTGCATGGTGGGTTTTGGAGGAGGATAGAGAGAAAAGAGAGTGAGAGGTATTCTTTTGGCTTGGTATTGTAGGGAAAGAGGTAGAGAAAATTTGGCGAGGTATTCTATTGTGAGTCGTGTCCCGAAAAAGACTCGTGAACCAGCTCATGAATGTGGAGAGAGAGAGAGAGAGAGATAGAGGCTCAACATTTCCAACAGGTTGATTATCCTTTATAAGCCATTGTCTTGGGTCTAGGGTAAAGTACAAAATTTGGCTAGTGCAGGAAATTATTCCTAAGCAATCGACGGTGGTAGAGCAGGTGTCTTGTAACTGGATCAAAAGTCCCAGGTTCAAAACCAAGTTGATGCGCTAGTGCACTTTGGTACAGCATTAGTCCTCATTACCAAGTCCCTTGGAGAGGACATACAGCTGTCTGTCCTCTGGTTGCTTACTTACAAGCACACACATGCTTTCTTAGCAGTCAAGTAAAAAACAAAATATCACATCACCAAAACCAAACATGCTGTACAAACAACATATTGGGACAAATTTGGTGGATTGGGGCTGATGGTTGCCATAGAAACTGATGATAAACTTACCATCAAGCTCCATGATTTCCATCCTTTGGCCGTCTTCACTGTGTCCAACAAACTTCATTCCATTCTTCTCAAAGTCTGCTACATCGTTAGGGTTGACCTACACAAAAAAGTGCAAACACCAAGAATTTACAATTTTATATATATAGACCTGTAATGCAACAAATTCAGACAAAAATTTTAAGATCCATTTCTATGTACGTAGAATACAACAGATTTTGACAACATTTCTCATATCCATTTTATTTGAAATCGGGAAGAACATGATAGTAGCAACTATCCCAAGAAAGGTATTACTCTTAAAGGGATCCGGTAACTTTGTCTCAGATTCTGAAACAAAATTCTGGATTTAGCTCATGATACAATGATAATTATAAACCTTTAAGTCAGCCAGGAACCCCATGACTTTTACAAGCCGATCGCCTGTCTGATTACCAAGATATTCATGATTGGAATTACAAATTTTGAAAACCGTTCGCCTGACGGTTTTCATAACACTACAGTCTATTGGGGAAAACGAGTATGGTAAAACCGGTCACTCAAAGATTTTTACTTTTTTGAGGCACTTCTTGATCATTTTGGAGCGGAATTTTTTTGGGGCTTCAATATTACACTATATCACAGACACTGATAACACGTAGGGCCGCGTATCTCAGATTTAACATTGTTAAACGATCCCTTTAAAATGCTCTCATACTTCAAATATTGCTGGAAAAGAAGGCAACTTCTAATTGAATTCTGAAATAACATTGTGTGTAGTTTCATATACCAAAACCTTTGCGCAGTGCTTTCATGGTTTGTGCTTTTCAGCAAGATTCATTCAAGTATGCAGTTATCGCATAATCAATCGTTCCTAATAATTCCTAAGCCGTTCCTTTCACATTTGATTTTTTTATTAGGTTCTAGGAACATGAAAACCATAACTTTACCTCATATCTGTGTCTATGCCTCTCTTCTACGAACTCAGCTTTGTTGTACAGGGTTTCTGCAGGGAAAGAATTAGACATTAACATAATCATGATAATGATAACAATAATAAATAATAACAATTTTTGTTTTGGAGCATATATCCACCACCCGAGGTGCTAAAAACATCCAATATTATCCTGGCTCTGCTAGGTAACTGATTTGGGTGCTCACATCATTGCACACTAAAATAATAAACAAGAAAATGAAAAGGAGAGACAAGAGAAAGCTTGAAATAAAAGACGAGGGAGAAATTCAGGTGAAGTAATTTAACACAGACCAATTAAATTCCAGATTCAATGGCAGTAAAGATTATAGATATTTATTACTCATTTATCTATACATTATTAATCTCTCAACAATATAAGAAGGTACTGAGTTTGCATAGAGATAATTTCTAGAAAGTGATTGCGATCTTCATTCAGAAATTCTTCACATAAGTTGAACAATATGGAGGCGCAATATCTCAATCGGCAGAGCAGTGGTCTCGTAATCCGTTGACCCGGGTTCGAAACCAAGTCGATGCGCTAGTGTCCTTTGGTAAGGCATTAATCCTCATTACCAGGTCCCTCAGAGAGGACCTTAAGCCGTCGGCCATCTGGTTGCTTACTAACAAGCATTTATGCTTTCTTAGCAGTCAGGTAAAATAACCACCACCACCACCAATATAACCGCGATAACCATGAAATTGGTAGAACTTACTCATAATGCTCTGATCTGTCTTGAAGAGTGTTTTTCTCTTTCCCAGCCTCATGGTACCACCCATCTGACCCGTGTTGTGTTCTGGCATCTCAATCACCTACAACAACAATGTCAACATTTCAAGATACTGGTCAGTTCAAAGATGTTAAACAGGCAACATAAAAATAGTGGGTGTAATGTTTATAAGACCACAATATATCCCCCCTCCCCCTAATTTTCATCTCAAACAATATGCATTTCTGTGTTTTCGTTTGTTTTTTTGCATTGCTTTCATGACAACAACAAGAAAACTGACCTTGCTTCTCTTTAAATTGATCCTGTTGTTAATAACCTGTTGAAACCAACCCCGACATACTTTGGTTAAATTCTATAGTAAATGGGTGTTTTACTAAAACCACATGGTATCCAATGGGTCCATCTTCACTTTACATGAACTGGATATCGATAGGTCTGACAAACCTCAGACAATGGTTATTAGAGTGTAAATTGCATGAAATCGAATAGCATCTTTTAAATGGCCTGTTTCAAACATCTTATTTAGGCCACTCCCATTGCGATGAATGCAACATATAACCCAATTCACTTTGCAGAACCTTTTTTTCTTTTTCATTCGTATTTAGTAGTACACTGTAGATCAGTTGCTACTATATGCAGATATATTGTATGATGCACTTTTTCTTAGATATATATGTATTCATCTGCTACCTAACATGTACATTGTTGTGTGTTAAGTTTTTATTTTGAATAAAAACACTATAACAAAAACAAAATTATTTTCTTTGATGGTTTTAGAGAGAAGCTTTAGGATACTGACCACTGTGTGCTTGGACTTGGGGTCAAACTCTTCAGAGTGTGCATCTTTCCAGCCTAGCACGTTCCTTGCAAACTCGATGACAGCGACCTGAAGACCCAAACATACACCTACAAACAAACAAACAAATAAACATACAAAATAACAATACAATGTCAGTCATTCCTACTCTTGAATCATCCATCCAATGCTAATGTCTTTTGACACTACATTTCATCTAATGGGGCGTCAATAATCAATTGCAAATCCCCAAAATCGAGCGAAGTCTTGCAATTAACTGCAAATTTGCAATTGATCGCAACTCAACTTTCTTGCAACGCCCCTTTAGTAAGAGAGAGAGAGAAAGAGGGGGGGGGGGGGAGAATAAAAGCTAGATCTAGTTAACTTATTAAAACTTTAATCCTAACAAAATCCTAGGAAATTTAGGAGACTAGTGGGGCGTTGCAAGAAAATCTAGTTGCACTCAATTGCAAGAAAATCTAGTTGCACTCAATTGCAAATATCAGTTGCAACTTGCAATCAATCACTTCTTTATTGCAATGCCCCATAAGTCTAATCCTAATCATGAATGGTAAAAAGGTATTCAATATGAAGGGTCCGATAACCATAAATCATAATAATGCAGCAATCAAAACCGAACAGTATATTACATCTAGCTTCTCATTTTTATCAAATGAATCAATATTAGCAAAGGCTATGCAGTACTTTTGAGATGTATTTATATATTGTTGGTGATGGTTATTTTACATGACTGCTAAGAAAGCATTAATGCTTGTAAGCAACCAGACGGCCGACAGCTTTAGGTCCTCTCCGAGGGACCTGATAATGAGGATGAATGCCTTACCAAAGGGTACTAGCGCATCGACTTGGTTTCGAACCTGGGTCACCGGATTACGAAACCACTGCTCTACCGACTGAGCTATCGCGCCTCCTTTTTTAAAATCCTTTTTTCATTATCCTTGAAGTGTAGTTATTCGTATAACTGCAAAGACTTTCAATATTCAATTTGAGGGGAATTTTAACACCCGATTGAAAATGTAACACACCATTATAATGCTAAGGAATTTTATATGTGGGGCATGAGGCAACTGAAATTGCACATGAGTTTATTTCTTGAAAATCTTTCTAACCGTGTTCAGAATACTCACCAAGATATGGCTTCTTGTTGACGCGTGCCCAGTGTGCTGCTGCCACCTTGCCTTCAATACCTCGATTACCAAAACCACCAGGTACCAATATTCCACTGAAAAGAAACATATCAATTTCAGTAGATATCTCAATCTCAATTATATGTGTTGCGGTCTTGTGGATAAGTCACCCAACTGTAGATCACAAGGTACAAGGTTCGAGTCCCGCCATGGCACTAATGTCCTTTGGCAAGATGTTTAATCTACATTTCCCACTCTCCACCATTCTGCTCGAGTCTGAGTTACTAGTTGTCTGCTAAAGTTTGAGTAACTAGGTGTCTGCTCAAGTTTGAGTTACTACCGTAATTAACGGTGTATAAACCGCACCTTTTTGCCGCCGAAAAAAAAAATCAAAGTCGGGGGTGCGGTTTATACACGGTACACCCCCCCCCCCCCCCCCCCAAAAAAAAAAAAAACCCTTTTTTTTTTTTTTTTGCTGATTCTGTCGGCAGCAAGCCAGGTCCCTTTTTAAAAAAAAACACGCGGGAAGGCCTTCCATTTAACATCAGTAATGTACATTAAAAAACAGAAGAGGACCTAGGATAGAACCTTGTGGTACACCATGTGTAGGAATTATTATTATAAACTACATATGGAGATCTATAAGAAAGATTACTTTCAAACCAAGTTGACAGACAAATTTGAGTGTTGTTCTAGTTTCCTAGTGGTGTGTCAACACACCGATTACTGAGCTGGGAGACATTGCCAGGCATAGCGCCAGGTGGAGGGGCATAAATCAAAACTTAAAAAAAAAAAAAAAATTCTTTTCTTTTTTAAGGGCGAAAAAGAGGGGTGCGGTTAATACACGAGGGCGGTTTATGCAACGTTAATTACGGTAGGTGTCTGCTTGAGTTTGAGTTACTAGGTGTCTGCTTGAGAATGAATTACTAGGTGTCAGCTAAATTATGAGTTACTAGCTGTCTGCTAGAGTATGAGTTAATAGGTGTCTGCTAGCTTTTGAGTTACTAGCTGTCTGCGAGAGTTTGAGTTACTAGGTGTCTGCTAGAGTATGAGTTGCTAGTAGAGTATGAGTTACTATGAGTTACTTACTCAACACTGCAAAGCTTCTGCCATGCCTCATGGTATCTGACTGGGTTTGTTTCCTTGATCTCTGGCTCCAAATCATCAGCTTCAATATACTACCATGAAAAATAAAAAAGAAAAGATAATGCAGGAATTGGCATGAAGCACATAATATACTAACACTCTTCTTAATGCTTGCATTCATTCAGTAATTGTATTACATGGTTTACTAGAGATAATGATTGGTACTACGAGATTGAATAGCATTGAAAGAAGACGTACTGAAGCTTTTTTTTGTCTTGCACTTGTGAGAGTTAACAATAATAATAATAATAGGTACATTTATATAGCACAGCTACTATGTGAATATACTCTACTGCGTATCATATTATTACCCCAGCTGTAGCTGAGCTGCCATGATTAGACCCTAAAGCAATCACAGATTCTTTTATAATTTCAGCACACATATTCAAAACTCAAAATAAAGTAACTTTTTTTTCATTTCCCTAGAGCTTTCATGAACAAGTGTAACTGATTTTCCAACTTGATTCAGATTCACTTGATAAAAAAGAGGACTTCCTTTCATAAAAAAAGTTGACATAATTACAATGAGGATACCTTGAGGTTGAGTTTGTGCTTGCAATGGAGTGCAGCATGGTTAAGTGCCTTTGTGACCGAGATGTACGCATCTGCCAGCTTTGTGTACTTGCCGACCAGAGCGATAGTGACTTGCTTCGATGATGGTGAATCATTTCTGAACAGAGACAAGAGAGGAAAAAATATTTTTAATGAAATGAGTTTATTCAATTTCAATTTATTGTCCAAAGGAATTTCGCTTTACTCACATTTTACATATAAGTTTACAAACTTATAGAGATTTTCAAAAACATAGACATAAACATTGGTCAATATTTGTATTGAATAATAATAACACAAGTAGTAAGTCTGTATACACCTACTCAAGTAAAACCAAATACTATGGCTTGCATAAAACCTGAAATAGGAATTTCACAAGTGGTTCACATTTGCCTAAATTTCATGCTGTGAAACAAGTTAATCCCAGTACTTACAATACAGAATTTTCTTTCCAATTTGTAAAAGTTTGTGTCCCAAGTTCATGATTGTACGTTATTATTAACCATTCATGCATTCCTTCAGGAACATTCTGACCTATCTCTCGTTTACAGGTGAGGCAACCCACCACAAAGGTTTTTTTAAATTAAACTCTTTTTGATGTGGGGGGCGGGGGGAGCAAGTCTAATCAATACAGTGATAAAACCAGCTGAAATGATTACCATTGAGGATACCGAGTTAGAGTGCAGCTATCAAAGGAGAAATTGAAAGAACAAAACAATCTTGAAATTCTAAAATCTATTTAAATGGACCTCCCTAATTCATTTTGTGACAATACTACAGAAAGCCTACTACAGAGTACCCTTTTGTACAGATGCTCTCCCAAAATCTTGTCAAAGATAGAATTTTAGGTTTAGGGTTGCAATGGCTTTCAGCTTAGATTTTTAGGGTTAGTTATAGTATTGGGTCCAAGGTTGAAGTTATGAATTTGGTTAGTGTCAAAAAAGTGACCACATATTTCTTCCTGGAGCATGAGTTGTAGAACCTTCATTACTACTGTAATCCAGGGGGGCGTTCAAAAAAACTTGTTATCTGTGACAAATGACAGTTTTTGTTATAAGCTACTGAAATCCTTGCTTCTGATTGGTTATCAGCAGATATGTCACTGATTTTTGTCATTTGTCATTGTGAAAGGCTTTGTGAAAAGGGCCCCAGGATTAAATATGGAACTACTTACCTGTGAGCCAGTTCCCGCCACTGTGAAAGGACTGCTCTTGGCCTCTGTCTGAATTGTAAGGTGAGTCTGTTCTTGAAGAAAGAGATGAGATTCTGTTGTTCCAGCAGGAGAGGCACTCGATAAACGGAAGAGCAGTCATGAACGCAAATTACCTAGAAAGGTGGACAAATGAAGAATTTTTTTTTTAAAGGAAAGTACAAAATATACAGGTACAATATCATTTCGGATGTAGTAATTTAATAGCTCAATATCAAAGCCATCAAGTAATTCTGTTTTCACTGATATTTGAAAGGTTCCTGTACAGTAAGGTTACATGCTCCTTTCATACATTTTGACACAGATCGTACTGTAGATAAAGAGCATACTGTAGATAAAGAGCTTACTGTAGATGGGTAGTAGTCCGAAGCACACAAAAAATTGGTCTTTACAAACACTCGGACTTTCTACATAGGTGGTCATTAACCCTACGTTAACTGGGGGGGGGTCAATTTGACCCCCCCCCCTGTAGAAATTTCGCGACTACTCCGAAACCGCGGCAGATATAAAATTTTCCTTTCATGACTTTTTTCTTTCAAGTCTTACGCATCTTTTAAAACAATTTTTTCGAAAATCGGACGTATAGTTACGGAGTCACGTGACATTTTGTTGTTGCATGTCAGCCCGAAAATCGCTAATTTTTGTGATTTGTGTACAAAATATATGGAAATGTCATTTTTCCTATAAAGAGATAAAACATTGGTTATTTAGTCTTGTTTAAAGTTTGGGTGTTTGTTTTGGGGTCAAAATAGTTGAATTGTAGTTATAAATGAAATAAAACAACAAAAACAATAAAATACATAAGTTGAAAAAACAATGAAATACATAAGAAATTATCAAAACAAGAGATAACATAAGGAATAACCTGGCTTTTCTATTTTTTTATGTTGTATTATTATTCCAAACGGTCTAACAAATATATGTAGTGAAAAAGAATGCTCAAATAGCAATAATGTATGATTTATGGGCAAAAATGTGAATTTTATGGCCTTATTTGCATAAATTACCATAAATATGTAAATGAGTGAATTTTTCAAAAAATTGAAATTACCATAGTATTCAATACACTTCACTTGACATATATGCAAATTTTCGCGGCGATCGGCCGTCAAACGGCCGAGATCTTAAGGGGGGGTCAAATTGACCCCCCCCCCCCAGTAAAAACCTGGTCTGAAATAGCCCAGTTAAAATAGGGTTAAAGCAGGTTTGACCAGAAACAGAAAGAATATTACTTGTTCAGGAGGGACATGGCAGAACATAGAGATCTTTTCTTTGATTCCGTCATCCACTGGGTTGTGACTTCTGCAAACGATCTGAAAACAAATAATCAAGATGTAAACAAAGTGTTCCTTGTAGGTTTTCACACTGAAAAGATAGTACAGAAGATTTACAGTTAATCCTGAAAAGGACAGGTGATGATTCTGATGAAACAGTTCTGAAAGAAGTTAAGCTCAAGAAGTTCAATGAATTTTGGTTCTGAAAAGAACTGATATAGTTCAATGAATAATACGATTCTTTCGGGATAGCTCTGAAAGAACCTGTTGGTTATAATAAGTGCAAACAAAACTGAAGTTCAAAAAGTTCAATGATTTATATTATTCTGACTGAATAGTTCTGAAAAGAATTCTTTTGGTTATATTCCCACATGAAAGGAACTGAAGTTCAAATAGTTCATAGTTCTGAAAAGAACTTGTTTGTTATATTCAAAAGTAAAATAAAACCTGAAATTCAATAGTTCAAAGAATTATCGCTCGGAATAGTTCTGAGAAGAATCATTTCGTTATATTTCAAAGAAAGGTACTTATGCTAGATTTTTCGAAAAGGATACCACTTTCTCTTCAGGAGTGATTCAAGTGGTGGAAGCCATCTCCATCTTCATGATCATCACTATCATCACCATCAATACAACATCATGGTCTTCATCACCACTACCATCACTCATACTACAATCATCATCACAACCACACTACCTCAACAACAACCACCAACATCATCATCAACCATCATCATCAACCATCATCATCATCATCATCATCAACTATCATCATCATCATCATCACCCCCACTATCACCACCACCATCATCATCATCATCATCACCACCATCATCATCATCATCATCATCATCATCATCATCATCATCATCATCATCATCATCATCATCATCATCATCATCATCATCATCATCATCTTCATCATCATCATCATCATCATCATCATCATCACCACCACCACCACCACCACCACCACCATCATCATCTCTACCACTATCACCACCACCACCATCATCACTATCACCATCACCACTACCACCACCATCATCCCCACCACCACCACCATCATCCCCATCACCATCACCACCATCCTCCTCCTTACCAGATCTGGTGATAGTCCCAGACTTCTTAGCTCCCTGATGCTGGCCTGTGTGGGTTTGGTCTTCTGCTCCCCTGTTGACTTGGGCTGAGGAATCAGACTCACGTGGATGGACAGGAAGTCCTGTTTGACCCGGAACTGGAACTGACGGAACGCTTCCACGAAGGGCATTCCCTCAATGTCTCCAATAGTACCACCAAGCTGCAAGAAAAACAAGTAAAAAAAATGGAAACAAATAAATTGTTTGGCAGTTTGCAGTATAGGACTTATAGTACAACACATCAAATCATCTGTTCAAACTTAAAGCCCTTATGGATGCAAACAGACAAAATCTTGGTACATCTTGGAAATCATTACCCTAACTTTAAATCCTTGTGCAAAATGCATTTGGATGATACAGCCTCATTCAGATATGCAGCGATTAAACGTTTTTCTGAACAATGACAAAGTCCAATGCACTTCACATTTCTGTATCTTATAATGCAGAGCTTGGTGAACATGTATAGGACCATTGCTGCGCACAGTAGCCATTCATTTACACAAAAAGAAAAAAAAATAGCATGTTTTTTTTTGCAGCGGTGTATGTCATATCTGAACGAGCCTTAATTCATACTAATTTACACCTGAGTTGAGAGAGACAACTGTAAATAAAATGCCTTGCTTTAAGACATACACACAAGACAGGGAATAGAGCTCTTTACATACATGTACAAACTGTACCCCTCCCCTCGCTGGTTTGACAACCCAGTTCCTACCTCAATGATGCAGACTTCTGGTTCCAGCTCGTCTCCATCTACCGGTATCCTAGCAACCCGCTCCACCCATTCCTGGATAGCGTTGGTGATGTGAGGGACAACTTTATAAAGGAGATTTACAAACAAGCCATTAGAAATTGCAATCAGTGAGAAGGGCATGACAGCAGAATTCCTAGTACTCACTGGGCTCTGCTAAATCAGAGAACTGGATGAAGCCTACCTGTACAGTGCGTCCCAGAAAAATGCATGCATCGAGTCTTTCGTCTTCTTTGTGCATGGCTGATCATCAATGAAACGGAGTTAAGTCTTTTGTCAACTCTGTTTGTTGCTTTGGCAGGCAGCCAGTGAAAACGAATTTGTTTAATCAAATTATGAAAATGCAAGCATTACTTTAAACAAACAGAACTTTGTTATTCTTGGCTCATTTTTCCTGATTAAGGTGTCTTAGGAAAGGGCAGAAAATGAACTTCCTACAAATGTAATTTTTTTTTTGAAATACAGATACCGCCCGCCAAATGATTTTTAGTTTCCTCTCTTCAAATTCATTTTAATCACTCATGCATGAAATATGCATCATATAAATGGCATCAAATGAAAGAGGAGGATCTAAGCTTTCCAAACATAAGTCATTTATTAATTATAAATGTGAATAAGTTATGATAAAACATTGATAATTCTCGGTTTCGTTTTATCTGGGACGCACTGTTTAATTGATGTTTAGGTTGAATGTTACCTTGTACAGTCTTTCCAAGGTAGTCTCCTTTCCTCTCCTTCTGAATCACATGCTGGTAGATCTTGCCCGTTGTGATATTGTTGTCTCGGTGAAGCTTAACATCCAGGAACCGCTCGTAGTTTCCTAAATCCAGATCGACCTCACCGCCATCGTCCAAGACAAACACCTCACCTGTGAATTATGAAAGGACTAGTAAGTACATCTTGAAAACAACCAATCCCAAGAAATATTCTCTAAGCCACTTTTCTTTCAGAAATAATGTGAGATGGTTGTTTTAATAATAATAAAAACAGTGCTTATAAAGTGCTTACCACTGAAGTCTCTAAGCGCTATAACAAACAAAATACAATGATAAACAATTACATATTAAACAACAACAAACAAACCTACAACTTTGAGGTACACCCTACTGTAATTTGGCACAAGAATTATCATTTAAAACAGAATGAACTATTCCACACAAGCAAAACATTCCATGTTGATATTTTCATCATACACCTGTAATATTTGTATCAATCAGCAGGACTGATAGATAGTACCTCAGCATTTTCTCTCCTGCATGCCCCTGCACTTCGACCAATGTTAACTTTATTGCCCAATTGTCTTTCCACTTATTGATTTGTTGTAAAAAAAAAATGCCCTGCTTTTCAGAAAAACGTATTTTACACAACGTTTCAACAATGACTATCTAGGTTTACACTGAACCACCCTCCTGAGTGAGCTGATAAAGGGATTACCCAACCAAGTACCAAAACATTATCCTATAATCCATCACATTCATTTGCATAAAATATTAAACATGGCAGCTACTTGCATCTAGCTACAACCATTTGACATGACTAACTTACAAAGGTTCTTTCTTACCATGTTCATACGGAGAGAATGTTCCAGCATCAATGTTGAGATACGGATCGATCTTTATCGACGTGACCCTCAGACCACAAGCTTTCAGGAGCATCCCGATGCTACTTGCAATCACTCCTTTTCCTATGCCACTTATTACACCACCCGACACCAAGATGTACTTCATGATGATGATGGTTGTTCTTCCTCTTTGATGAAATGTCTGATTCTACTAAGTCAGTGATTTAATTTGTTGAAAAATGTAGGAACTACCAATGATCCGTGTGTTGATTGTTCTCTCTCAGATTTCAGCAGCTCGTCAATGATCTGTTTAAAATAAAAGAAAGAACCAAGATAAATATTGAAAAGAGCTATCCTAAAGCACTGTATATTATAAATTGGCAGACATAAGTTTCATGTTTAGCAGCCGTTTAGTCTTTGATTGAAAACAAAGTGGGTAGCTTCTGGTTACCACTTAGGCCCTTACAACTCGATGTTTAGTTTCCCGTCACATTTTTTTTCAGCTCATAATGAGGCAACTATTTCATTATTCATTATTCATTATTCATTATTCATTATTCATTATTCATTATTTATATACCTCACTTAAGTAATCCAGCCATCTGATTGGTCGAAATTGCATTCATAAACTTCAACTGTTCCTGTAAAATTCCCGGTAACCATGCATAAAACATTTAATATTTTTAATAACCATGGTTATTAAAAAAATAGGTCAGCCTCCATGGTTACCCCATAGGTTTACATGTTAAAAAATGGTTTGAGCGATCGAGGATACCGTATGTGTGCGAAGGATTGGTCGGTAATTTCAATACAATTGAATCTCGATCGATCTTACCGACAATTTTATCTTGCATTGTTGACATGAAGACGAAAATAAACTTCCAAAAACAAAAAAACAACATCTGCCGATAGATCTTGATCTAAGTTCGTGCCAATATGCATTGCAAAAGTAAAAGAAGGGTGCTTTTGCGAAGCATTCATCACACCGAAGCCGGTTTCAATCCATTTTAATGTATATATTGTACAAAACTGCCAAGCATGTGAACAGCGCGCGATGGCCGAGTGGTGTAAGGCGTTGGTGTAAGATTCATCACTCATTGTACGCAAGAGTTCGACTCTCACCTTCGACAAAAAACAAAAGTATTTTTTATTTTTTATTTTTTAGTCTATTTTTTTTCGGCATATAAAAGTATTAATGACTGCTTTAATATTCGAGAAATAGTTGTTTTTATACGCTCTCGGGAAGGTTACAATTGGGCTATTCCCCTCGGCACGCCTCGGGTAATAGCACAATTCTAACCTTCCCTTGAGCGTATAAAAACAACTATTTCTCTCAAAGCAGTCATTAATACTATATCATTATTCATTATTTGCAAGATTCCTTTATGTTTACTTTTTGCGAGCACTTAATTTATTTTTGTTGGTTCAACTTGTGTATTTCCAGTCTGTTAACTTAATACATGTATGAGCATCTCATTACATACACATTGTTAATATCTTGATTATTTTCATGAATACAAACATCAAATATTGTTTTTAAAAAACCCACACACACATGCTATAAATCCAAATAGAGGAATACTTTGATAGTAACAAGTGTGACAAACCTTTCTACCATAATTCACAATATTTTTAAGAACATGTACTATTAGTTCCAAGATATACATGATTCACAGCAAACATTTACACATGACTTACTTAAAGCATCTTATTCTGTGTTAAATGCTTGTTTTATTTTTTTTTAATTTCTTTATTCTTTCCTGACCTCAAATTTTGTTATTTCAGGGCTTTTGTAAAACAGAAGAATGTTCCTCCATGCTTTAAAAAGGATGAACAGTAACTATTATTATGCTGAATTCACTTGGATAGATTTGTTAAAGAGTTATGATACAGTGGAAGCTGGTAGAAATGTTTTAAGACACCAACAAAAAAACAAGTCCATATAAAATAATAACAGTTTGCAATTCACAACGGTAATTCAGAAGTCGAACCGGAAAGAAAAAAATATTACCAAAAAAAAAAGTTTAAAACAAATAATTAGACCTACACAAAAATAATGAATTATTTTCAGATTTTCGATCGCCAACGCGGCCAAAAAATCACAGTGCGGGCGGGCGACGGGAAACTCAACGTTGAGTTATAAGGGCCTTATCAGTAGATGCGCAGAGCCAATATGAGAGTCTCTTTCACGTTTTGGAGACTTTGTCACAAGTTTTGGATTTTGGGTCGACTCTTTTGGAGAGTCACCTATTCAGGATCAATTTTCTTTGATTACATTTTCTGCAAAGAGAATACTTCAGCTCAAAATGTGATATTAAAGTAGATTCCTCATCAAAAATAACTTTTGACCACTGAGGGCATTAGTTTTATTTCTGTTTTCATTATAGTTTTTTTGCTATCAGTAATCATCAACATGCAACAAAAAGAATGGGCTGCTGACCCCGGAATGGCAAACTTTTGGGTGGGGAAACAGAGCCTGGTATTTGTTGTTTTGTTTGTTTTCAAATAGTTGTTAATCTCCAGAATGGGAGATTATTAGTGGCAGAAAGACTCCAAAACGGCCGCGCACCTATAGGCCTAATGTAGTAGGCCTAGACCTAGATCTACTGGGAATGCTTTATTTCCCGAGGCCCAAGATCACCCCAATAACTTAGTTAGAATTAGACTTCATATCTTTTCCTAACTTAATCAAATATGATTATGAAATAGAAAAGTCTACAACACCAACAATATAGAAATTCGCTTTGCACAGTGTCAGCATGGTCAGTGGCATGCAAGTTTAGTGACCAGTGACTGAATTCACTTCATGAAATAACCATCCAAGGACAAGAATCAAGATGGTGGTGTTGTCACCTATTTTCTTTCATATCTGCATGACCTTGACCTCGACCAATTATTGAATTAAGTAAGTCACCAGGCCAAGTATGCCATGAAATATTGGCCTGACTTAATTTTCAAATTTCATACCAAAATACAAATTACATCCAATGATTCAATGTAATTCATGATTCAACTTAAAGTTTCCTTCACAGCAACTTCTGTCTCGAACTGTTCACATTTTCAATGAATCAATCACTTTTTAACACTCATCACCACACCGTCACCAGATCACATTTACAAAATTTACAAATCACGAGACAAGTTAACATTTCGAATTTCAGTTTCCCATCATCATCTGAATAGTCTACTTCCTTACCACTGAAAAAAACTACAGTAAAGGTGCGAAAAGTCTTCAAGAAGTCCACCTGTTCCTCTCTTCCACGACAGAAACATGCGTTGCAATGAATGTGGTTGCGACTTTGTTATTACATGCCCCGCCGCCAATATCGTGTGTGTACTGACTGTATGCGAAATAGCGCGCCACATCTCATTCATTCAACCGCTGTTCGCGCACTTCGTAAAGTGGAAGATAAAATTAGTCGACATGTGAACCTAATTCTGTGTGACCAATTTAAGAAATATTAGCGATTGACTGTAAGAAAACTGTAGAGCTGTGCTCATCAAATGATATTGATGAAGATTTCAAGTTGTTTACATAAATAAAGGAAGTGGACTAGGATTACATGCAAACTAGAGTGGGCATCCAGGATTTAACGGGGCAGGGGGGGGGGGGGAGGCCTGGGGGCCCGCAGAGAAACGGAAAGATATACTCACGTCAACCTAACTGAGACTGGGTAAAAACTTGTAACACTTCATAATTATAATATTAGACATTAAATTAAATATTAATACACACAAGTAAAGACTGATGATATGTATACCGGTAATACAAAGAGAGATATGCAATTAGCTAATAACATAAAAACAAATACATGTAATATAACAAACAGAAGGAAAGATATACTCACGTCAACCTAACTGAGACTGGGTAAAAACTTGTAACACTTCATAATTATAATATTAGACATTAAATTAAATATTAATACACACAAGTAAAGACTGATGATATGTATACCGGTAATACAAAGAGAGATATGCAATTAGCTAATAACATAAAAACAAATACATGTAATATAACAAACATTGAGGAACAACAAAATTAGATAAGAAAGCTAACATAGTGAGAGAAATAACAAGTATACAGACATATGATATAAAAAGGGACATTTGAATACAAAAGGATAGGGGGAATGATTTGAAAGGTATTTCCCAAATTTTAGATATACTCAGTTATACTTTTTTTACAATGCTCCCAAGGCAATATTAGGCCTCGGATGTTTACTTTTCCTGATACTCTTGCAGTGACAATTAGATTTACAGTAAACTATATATTCTTTCGAGTCACTATTATATGAGGGCGCATATACTTCTTTGTCACATTTCTTCTTTTTTTTCATTCATGGAGTATTTTCTTGTTGTACCTTATTCTCTCTTTTTGGGGGTAATGCGTTTTTTTAAAACTATTTAAAAAAAGTTGAAGAAGTCAAATTTAAGGGCTAGGAAAAAGAAGCTTTCTTTTGAACTCTCAAATTTGAATGACTAAAGTTACAGTTTGCTGGTTAGTCCTTTAAAGGGACTATGTCCCATTTGCAGGCCAAAAAAATGAAAAAGTTAAATTCCAACTGCATTTGAAAGATAATACTAATTTAGAACTTCCCTAAAAAGGGTGGGGCTTGAAAATGTCTTCAAGTGGGAAAATAATGACTATTAGTTGTCGACTTTAGGGCTATAGAGCCCAAAAGTAATAGTCTTGATTTTCAGACAATTGTACCAAATGGTCATACGTTTTATACTGCACAAAGATTCAATCAGTTTAATTAGTGGCCATCACAAGAAGTGGGTTATTGATGTAGACAAATACTCATGTACCCTTTACAACTCTTTTCATGTATGTTATTACCAAAGAAGAAAAAAAGCCAGTCAGTCACTCAATATAGTGTCTGAAATTTAGCAAGTAAACGGTTTTCCTTGCATAATTTGAATATGAGGACACTGCTAACGTTTAAATTTCAGAGATAGGACATACATGACATATTCATTATTCCTGCAAAGTTCTACAGCATTTGAGGTTGGCTGCAAAAGGGACATAGTACCTTTAAGGCAGGGATGCAGTGAATCGAAAATGATCAAAATAAGGCCTAAACAAAGAAGGAGTTGTATTGCCCCTTGCGACCGACCCCAAAATCTTGAAATCTACGGTAGGCTTTTTAAAAAAAAGTTTGTTTTTTTTAAACCGTTTTTTAGAAAGAAAAAAATACTAAATCATTCAAAACTGAGAAATATCAGCCCAAAGAGGAAGGAAAAAAAGAAGAAAAAGATTTCCGACCGACCGACCGATGTGGATCCATTGTCCGAATTGAATAAATAAGAGCTAGAGCTATAATAGCTATAGGGTTGCATATATATATATATATGGAGAGAAAAAAAGATGGGGATAAATGAAGTCGGGGATTAATGTGAAGATAATTATATTACAAATATAATATAACTCAAAACATGATTAACAGCCAAATTTATATGGGAACAAAGAGTTGCCAGTTTGATCATTAGTTCGAATAAAATATGTATAGTGTATATAATATCTGTTAAGAACTTTTAACGTTTATTTACCATAAAACTATTTTTAGGAAATTAAAACACATTTTTACGCAAGAGATAACATAATTACTTGAAACATTACTTTTCTCAGCAAATCGATCGTGATAATCTGAATGGGCAGCTAGCTAGCTATAGCTTTACACATATGATCTCTGCATGATTCTGATTCTAAACAATGATATTGTCTGCAGATTGTCTGTAACAGTAACAATGTAAGTGTAAAGATCGATATTACTTTCATTTATGAGGCATTGTGATTTTCAATGAGTACGCAGTACAAGTAATCATGATTTCTTGAATTAAGTGATAAATTATGATGATTTATGAAGATTTATCTACCGTAATTAGACACCTCGATTTTTTCAACTGAAAGTGTTAACAGTCCCACATGTGGGAAATTGTGTCTGTGTGCGTTTATCTGTATCTGTATCTGTATGATTTGGTCAGCAAAATGTCCTTTCCAGACACATCCACGCTAACGTATTTGTAGACAGAGCACTGTGTGTTATTGTTTATGGAATGATTGATAATGATATGATGTAGATCTAGATCTAGATCTATACAATTTTATATGCATATAAGTTAATTGAATTAAGTTATGATTAACTGTTATGATGAACAGAATTGTATTTTGAAGAATTATTTGCATTAAAAAAAAATATTGAATGAAATCAAAATAACAAATTACAGGGGTAAACTTTGAATGAAAAGAAGAAAGCAAAATACCGGATAAATTAAACTATTGCGGGGTCTTCTCAAATTGAAATTGAGGGAATATATTGTTGATTATACAGGGTTATACAAGGGAAATTTTGAAGTAGAGAAATTGTAAAAGGAAATTATAATCAGCATTTGCCAAAGCCTAGCCCTAAGGCCAAAAGTTTTGGCTGTACCATCAAGACAGATAGTGAAAGGGTAATTATCCAACCCCTTGTAGTTTTGAGATATTTTTATGATTTACTTTTTTCAGATTCTTGATGTTGATAGCATATAGCAGCAGTCTCCTGTATCGTTCTTGATGTTTATGAGCTGCTGCCTGCTAAGAAAATGAATGATGAAGATCCATCAGATTCTGAGAACAGTCTTGACACAAGAGCCCAAGATAACATTACCGGGTCTGCACCAAGACTGCAGCCAGCACGACCCTCTGGGAATTTACAAAGGCTTCATCCAGCCCAACCTTATGAGAATTTCCTAAGGCTACAGCCAGCAAGATCTTCAGAGAATACGCCTCGGCTCCAAGTCGCAAGATCTTCAGAGAATACCCCTCGACTCCAACCAGCAAGACCTTCAGAGAATACTCAGACTCGGCACCAAGTTGCAAGATCTTCAGAGAATACTCCTAGACTCCAAGTTGCAAGAACTTCAGAGAATACCCCTCGACTCCAGCCAGCGAGACCTTCAGAGAATACTCCTCGGCTCCAGTCAGCGAGACCTTCAGAGAATACTACTCGGCTCCTAGTTGCAAGACCTTCAGAGAATTCTACTCGGCTCCAAGTTGCAAGATCTTCAGAGAATGCTCCTAGGCTACAACTTGCAAGACCTTCAGAGAATGTACAAAGGCCGCAGGCAGTTCGACCCTCTGAGAATGTTTTAAGACCACAGTCAGGTCAACCTACAGAGAATGCTCCAAGGCTTCAGCCAGCAAGACCTTCAGAGAATGTCCCTCCAGAAATCAGCATCTATGACTGTAACAGTGAGGAAGAGGACGAAGCTGTCCCACCTCCTCCCTCTAGGAAGCGGGCGGCTCTTTCCCCTCTCAAGCCGCTGAACCCCACCGTGTCAAAGACCCTCGAGTCCAACCAGCCCACCAAAGCCAAAGCAAAGTACATGGGCAGTGGTCCCAGCGGACTGTCGGTGAGACAAGACTCTGTTGTTGGATCCAAAGACTCCCCTGAACAAACAGAGAATAATGAAATTTATTATGTATTCAATCAGAAACTCCTGCAGCTGTGTGACCAGGTGCCAAAGATACCCAAAAGGGTAAGTCCTCTATATCTTTAAAGGTGATACAGGGTACCTATGGGATACATTGGTTATATCTTGTATGGCTTCAATTTCACACTCCTCCATCTTCAGGACCCTTTTTGGTGGTTGTGAGAAGGCTATCTCATGAGGTTTACAAATATCCAAACTTTTGTAATCACATGTCATAGTGAAATATAGTCACAAAAATGCAAAGAAATTTGTTATAAACTTGGCTAAAGTAGTGCAGTTGTTACCACAAAATAAGTTTACACAGGAAATGAATGACCATATTGGGAAGATTAGCATACAATATACATGTAGGCAGTTGTATGTTCAACAAATACTTCAAAAAATTGGAATACATCTAGGTGACTAACAACTCTTTTTCCCAGGGGGAGGAAAACACCAAGAACCAATTTTCAATTACTGGTACATGTACATGGCTACCTGCCTAAACGTAGATAGATCCAAGGTAGATGAGAAGTGATTATTAATTGGACAGATTTGATGCTTTGATAAATTACTTTGCTTTTTCATGCCTCTACATACACTAAGCTCTCTGTAGTGTCGACTATGTCTCCTCTGATGAGAGCCAGAGGGGCATAAAGTCATATCAGCGCTAACACCCTTCTGGCTTTCAATAGATGATCTGTTTTTGTTTACTTTTTCTTATGATTTTTGTGCTCTCCAGGCCAGTATGGTGCACACCTTGATCGAAGCCTATGACCTTCTGGATCACGTGACCCCGGTCTCTCCTGAGTTCGCCACGAAAGACGAGCTTCTAACCTTCCACTCTCAAGAGTACATTGAGTTCTTAGAGAGGGTTAACTTAGAGGAGGACTCGGAGAAAGATGAGGAACTCAAACAACAGTTTGGATTAGGTATGTTGCATTTCTCTCTTCAGCTTAAACCTTGCTAGAAAGATATTTTGCTGAGGGCTAAATTGATCACCTGTTGTTCTGCAAATTGAAAACAATAATATCTGTCTTTTCATGCTACATTTTAATAAGAAAATGTAAAGTCTCTGAAAACAATATACACTGTAAATCTGTATTTGGGTTTGAGCTTTGTCAAAAAATTTGAAAATTACTAATTTTGATTGAAAAATAATGATATGGAACTTCTAAATGAGTTGCCAGTATCCTTCTACATGTCTTCATGTGTAGATTTGATTAAATTCTAAGGCTCTAATTTAATCTGGTCAGGTGTTTTACATATTAAAGTGTTTATAATGAAACAATGTAAAAAATAGTATTTTGGGGGGGAAAACAGTCACAAATATATGTGTTTCTAGAAAAATCACTTGTATATTCATGAAAAAAAGATAAGATTTAATGTCTTCATTTATATCACACTAGTTTTGTTATTTTTCTACTAGGTTATGACTGCCCCAGCCTGCCGCTGGTGTATGACTTTGTGAGACTGGTGGCAGGTGCCTCTCTCAGCTGTGCCAAAGCTCTTATTCAACAGAAATGTAGGATTGCAATCAATTGGAACGGGGGCTGGCACCATGCAAGGAGGTAAGAAAACATGCCCGAGGTATGCCTCATACGATACTAAGCGTTATTGGATCGTATTATATGATAATACATAAATTGATTTAAAACTATGATGTTTTTGATGTCGTGTCTGATTTAAACTCTAGTATGGCTTTGAGTTTGATACAGCTAATAGGTAACACTGAAATTGTAGATGTGGTCTGTAACATATAGGACAACAAACCTTGGACTTGCACTAGACAACACTGTAGAGACAGTATCCATAGACACAGTAGATGTTCTGCTCAATGTGCACACTTTTCTCCTTATTGCTTGTATAAATACCGTATTTGCCGGCGTAAAGGCCGCAGTATTTTTGGAAGAGAAAATATCAAAAAGTCGGGGTGCGGCCTTTAAGGCAAAAAAGTTTAAAAAAAAAAAAAAATCAAGTCAAAACCAGCCCGAATTTGCACATACATGTATGGAACTACGAACGGTACAATAACTATACCACTATGGTACAGGACATTTCAACACATCTTACCGACAACTTTATCTTGCATTATTGACATGAATACAAAAATAAATTGCTAAACCAACATTTGCTGATAGATCTTGATCTAAGTTCGTGCCAATGCATTGCAAAAGTAAAGGAAGGGACCATTTAACGGAGCTGCCGCGAAGCATCCATCTGAAGTCGCCATTTTGTTTTCCATTTCATGCAGTTTCGCATTACACCGTACATTGTGGTAGGGGTATATATCGGACACCAAATCTGCCCGCGATCACTTTTTGAGCTAAAATTCCGGTAAATTATAAGAATATTGATGAATTTGGTATCAGTTTGTAAAAATAAAATAGAGTTTTACGAGAAAATTATGATTATTTTGTTTTGTTTTGTCCGATGGTTTTTTTTCCTTTTTTTTTTTTTTTTTTTTTTTTTTTTTCCCCCCTCTTTGAAATGTCAAAGTTGGGGTGCGGCCTATGCGGCGCTGCGGCCTTATCGCCGGCAAATACGGTAGGCATTTTCAGTAAGATTTATCATATGTTTCTGTACTCGCCTCTTATTCATGCACCTTTTTAGGCAATATTTCTATTTCTTATACAGCATTGTCTCACCCTCCTCCCTCTCTGTCTTCTCTCTCTCTCTCTCTCTCTCTCTCGCTCTCTCTCTCTCTTTCTCTCTCTTTCTCTTTCTCTTTCTCTCTCTCTCTTTCTCCTTCTCTTTCTTCCCTTCTCTTTCTTTCTTTCTCTCTCTCCTCTTGCCTTTCCCTTTGTCTCTTTGCTCTTCATCTTTCCTGACATACGTGATACTTCCTCATGTACCTAATATTGATTTGTCCCAATTGAAACTCATTTGGACCTACCATTTTTCATTTTATTTCGTCAGGGATGAAGCTGCTGGATTCTGCTATGTAAATGACATTGTTCTTGCCATCTTAAAACTCAAGGAGCATTTCAACCGGGTTCTCTATGTTGATCTGGATCTCCATCATGGCGATGGTAAGATTCATTCACTCACAGTTTGTCTTTCAGTTACAAAAATAGCAATCTGGAGGCATCTAGAGGCAGTTCATCATCATCATTATCAAGTGCCTGGTCTGTTACAGATGTCGGCAGTCACGGCCCTCCATTTTTGTCTAAGATCTGCTATTTTTCAAAAGCTGGTATTGCTCATTTAATTTTTGGTTGCCCATGTGTACAGGCTATGTAGAAATATTAGGGGTTGCTCCCCCTGCTTCTCTTTCCAGCAATCTTCTTGTGTTTTGTATTTGTTGCCCCTTTCTTACTTTGTTGATGAGTGATGGTTTTGCTCTTGCTTTTCTGAAAACTTCTGTATTTGTTATCTATTCAGTCCGTGATATCAATGCAAGTTGTTTAAAGTCAGATTATCTTGGATTTTCACAGGGACTTTCACTCCATTTGGGTATCCCCCCCCCCCTCCCAAACACAATTAATGATAATGTCCAATGCTGTTGATTTATAGATACAGAAGTTGACTTCACTCTCATACATTACCATAAGGTACTTTAGAAGATATGCCATTGCAGAGATATTCATCATCATATGCCCCATGGTCTGTGATATGCCATTGTAATGCATGATTGGATGACATCCCAGGATTTTGTGTGGGCGAGAGTGAAGATTTGTACATGCATTTATGAGGAATATCCACAGAGTCCAGTGTGAGTATTAAAACTGCACAGCTGCCAACCATTCTTGTTTTTTGGAGGAATGATTCCTCTTTTTTTTTGCTTTCAAACTAAAATTTTGACCCAAGATTCCCATTTTTCTAAAACTAAACTATTCCTAATTTTGAATTGAGAGATTCCTCATATTTGCTGTGTAAGGTTGGCAGATATGAAACTAGGATGCAATTCTTGTGGTAACTCCTGGAATTCTTATTATGTAACTCATACTCACTCTCTTGGTTTCTCTACACAGCTGTGGATGATGCCTTCATCTTCACTCCCAAAGTGATGACTGTCTCTCTCCACAAATTCTCTCCAGGTTTCTTTCCAGGTAAGTCATGTGATTAATCTTGTGTCATAATAGTACCTTGTTCATCAGCAAATATCACACTTAAATTAACCTGCCGAGTACTACGCTCATTGTAAGTCCAGGGTGAGTCCTGCTGTAAAAGTATGTTACCGATACCCAGATGCAAATACAGAAATGCTCTCCAGTGGTTGAAATAATTAGCAACTTGATCAATGGAAACACTTTACCGGTAAGTGCACAGACAATCACCTAGAGGTCAAGAGTTCAAGTCAGATTGATGCATACATGTATGTTCTTGTCTGGTAAAGTGGTTGAATTCAGCTATCCATTCAATAAAGATTGAAACAATGACAGGAAGTGCTGGTATTGCATACAACGAGAGTAACATGTTCATCCCATGGACATTGGATAAACATGTTATGAACATATGTTTGCCCAGTCAACAGACTGGATACAATGAGACCGTCTGGATCGGAGATGTCAAATTTAATGCTGTCAACATTTTGTTAATTTATTAACTCTTGACATTCAATGGCACTGCCTTTAAACAAATAAAAAATAAGATTTGAAAACTGCAATTGGTCTGAATTATTATTAGTGTACAGATCGATTTTTAGGTTTTTACCTCTTTTTTTCAACTGTACTCAAAGTAGTGCTAATTTCCAGAATGAAAATATTCATAGTGGACTCAGGTCTATATTTATCATACGTAAGAAATTGACTCATGACATTTGTATACATGTTTGCACTGAACTTGATGGCTACATACAAGGGCTAATTTGTATGACATGGGATATTTCAAGAAACTATCAGCACCAGGTTGTCTTGGTAAAGCCCCCATCACACCAAACTAGTTCTCACTACATTCTGGAACCACCCCAGAAAATCGTAAAACAGGTTGTGGTCGGGGTAGAACGTGTAAATAATGTCTATAATACAATCCTAGTACGTTCATAAACAGTCCTCAATATCTCTTCTGTACCCCGTCCACAGTCATTTCATCTCAAGTTCAGATTGGGTAAATTTGCCATTTCCAAGCAGTCGAAGTCCATCCATAGTCAGTTTAAGCCTGTTCTTAACTACTTCTACCTCGTTTGAGAAGAGATTAAAGTACATGTATGCATCCTTGTTTGCAGGTACTGGTAGTCTGAATAGAGTAGGAGGAGGAAGAGGAAAGTTCTACACCATCAGCGTCCCTCTCAAAGATGGGATCAAAGATGAACAGTACTCGGACCTCTTCACCAGGTAACCATCTGGGACCCATTTCATAAAACTTGTCATCAGTGACAAATGACAGTTTTTGTTGTAAGCTACTGAAATCCTTGCTTCTGATTGGTTATCAGCAGATTTGTCACTTATCTTTGTCATTTGTCATTGGAAAAAAAAAAAGGCTTAGTGAAACAGAGGTGTAGAGGTGTTGTGGTCGAGTGGATACGTCGCCGGACTGTTGATCACAAGGTCCGCGGTTCGAGTCCCGCCGCCGCACTAATGTCCTTTGGCAAGATATTGATCTACATTTGGCACACTCCACCCAGGTGAAGTAAATGGGTACCTGGTAGGAATTTATTCCTTGAAATGCTAGAGCGCTATAATGGCAGCACAGCTAAAGCCGGGGTAATAATATCCAAGTTTGGAAGCGCTTAGAGACTTATTGTGATTTGCGCTATATAAAAGCTGAATATTATTATTATTACAGGTCCCTGGTCATGGTCTTGTGTCGTTTGTTTATGAATGCATGTGTTATATCAAGGGTCTTATCCATAGATGCGATTGACCAATCAAAAGTTCTTAAGTTGATCAAATATTTATAATGTCCTTTTTCCTATTTATATAGGGTTGCAATGGATGTCTATTTTATCTATTTGAGTCAATCATAAATCTTTATAACTCAGAGTAGACCCAGATATCATACTACTGGACAGCTTCTATGTAGTCTTTCACTGACACAATTATTTGCCATCACACAGGTCTTAATGTTACTAGCATCAGACAGAGTGGTTGCTATCCCAAGGAATCTTATCCATGAATTATTTTGAATGTACTTTAGAAGGAGGATTTTTTTTCCCTCTGCATATTTTGGTAGTTTATACAATATTTAATTGCTTATTTATTATCAGGAATAGAATAATGAAATCTAAATTTAGGGAGATATTCAAGTTTTAAAAATATTTATTGTGATTTGCTTTGTCCTCACAAGTTTCTACATGAAGATTTCATGCTCAACTCTTGGTTGCTTTTGTACAATTGTTTTTTTTGTAGGGTGATAGAGCAAGTGCGTGTCAAGTTCCAACCCAGCGTAGTAGTGGTCCAGTGTGGTGCTGATACCCTCTCGTCTGACCCCATGCAGTCCTTTAACCTCACCCCTCTGGGGGTGGGGCAGTGTGTGTCCAGGGTTCTGTCATGGAAGCTACCAACTCTCCTGTTGGGTGGGGGTGAGTCAACAATCAACTTTCAGGGCTCTTGATTAGTTGATAGAGTGTGCATTTTTTTTTTTGAAAACTATGTTTATGAGGTCCAAAATATATTGCGCTGGGCAATTTAAAACAAATTTATTGGAAGTCTTTTAATTTAGATAGCTTCAGTATGATATCAACTAGTATCAACCATGTGCAGATGTACCCAAAAGAGATTCCTTTAAAGTCCATTATACTTGGTCACTCAATTTAGGTTATAGTGCTGGTTGATAAAATCTGGGCTAAGCTGTTTAAGTATATATATTTATGTACCCTACAGTAAGTGTATTCTGTGTATTGAGATCCTTACCTTTGAAGTTATCATGAATGTTTAATCAAGTAAATGGATTATTAAAATGAAACACATCCCATACATAATTTTACTTCTTTTTTTCCCTTGTCCCTTCTATGTCTGATTTCTGTGTGGATGTAGGAGGGTATAACATGGCCAACACAGCCAGGTGCTGGTCCTACCTAACAGGTCTAGTCCTAGGACAGAAGCTACCATCAGAGATCCCGGACCATGAGGTAGGTCCCAACAATATCCCCCCCCCCCCCCACCCAGTTCCCATCCACAGAGGCACTTTATTATGTGAAACTACTTTATTATTGCAATCATTGATGAGATATATTGAATTTGTGTTCTTTTATAGTGCATTTGATAGCTAAGCAACATGAAGTGGTACCTGAAACTATAGAAAAGAACACATCACCTTTTATTTTTCCCCTATCTGGGATCTTTGCATGCATCTTTTTGAAGACTCGTATGTTATCTTGCTAGGTAGATTCCAAACGGTGAAAGATGACTATTGGCTTATTCAGCTAGATGCATTTTCTTGTTATAAATGGTTGTTCTGCATGCCCGGTAGATCCTTATGTTTGTGTTTGTATGTTTCTTTATTAATTTGTATGTTTGTTTTGTTACATAGTTTTTCTTGGAGTATGGACCAGGTTATCAGCTTGAAGTGTGCCCTGCCCACTACACAAACTACAACACAGTGGAATACATGGAGACAGTTGCTAAGGCTATCACGAGTAAGTCTACTATACTGTGAAACCTAGGGAATAGTTGTAAGAGAGAGAGACAGAGATACAGAGATATGGACAGACAGACAGAGAAATGAGAGATAATATGGAGAGTAAAAAGAAATAAGAGAAAGAGACAGAGAGAGGGACATACAGACATATTATGAGTGTAAGTTTTAGAGATGTGGGAGAATAGGGAATTTCAAATGAGAAAATAATGATTTATCATGAATATAAAGGGAATGAAAGTAAGAGAGTGCAGAAGATACAAAGACTCGCGGTCATCGCTTCAAAGAATTATTTTTTTTTTAAATTCAGATTTGAATTATAGTTTTTTGCCTGCTCCCTTACTGTAATGGATAATTGAAGTCAAATCTTGCTTTCTTTTGTTTGTTTTTGCAGAGAATTTAGAGAATGTGAGATGATTGCAGGATTGTATACCAAAGAACCAAAGACTAAGCGGCAGTGATGTGCTATGAGACGGTCAGTATGGACATAATTCAGATGTATATGTATGGATCGATGGATGGATAGATAACTAGTAGTCAATGGAAGATTGGTATCTTGGATGAGCAGAGGTGGAGGGACCCGTTTCACAAAGCCATTTGTCAATGACAAATGACAAAAATCAGTGACAAAACTGCTGATAACCAACCAGAAGCTAGGATTTCACTAGCTTATAACAAAAAAACTGTATTTTGTCACTGATGACAAGTTCTGTGAAATGGGGCCCAGATCCTTCGGTGCTACCTGTACCTGGGCATTTACCCTCACCTTGGGTTGCTAGCACTAAGCATTATGGGACTTTAGTGAGAGAAACATGAAGTGTGAATCCTCCCTGATAAGGGTATAGTGGTTACAAGGGTAATATACGAAAGCTTAAACGTGGAGCGAGAAGGCTACTTGTTTAAGTCGCCAAGGCACCTTGTTTTAGACGAGAAGGCAAGAAGGCGAGTTTTTAAAACTCGCCACAGCACCTGTGACTTTGACGAGTGTCTTTTGGCGAGTATTTTGTTGTAAGGGCATTCTAGTACGTCATTTATTTATACAAGTAAGATTTATGAATGAAAACGGTGTAGGTGTGATTTAAGATGAATTTACCACTTTCTCACGGAAGCTGAATAGATGAAACTCGGTTAGAGAATGGAATCATGTCACTTGCTTACCATGAGCGAGGGGAGATATTATTTTAGTCTGTTCCTGTGCAATTTATTTTATGATACAGCACCCAAAAAGGAATTATAAGGAGTGTTAGCACTAGTTCACTTTTTAAAACTTGTTTATAGGCCTGTGGTTGTTCAATGAAATGGAAAAACAGATATTAAATTTTTAAAGTAAAGTGAAGTTTTACTCTCCTAACGGTTTATAAATGCAATATCGCCGTCATCTATGATGAAATGATTTTTTAAATTCAATATCTCTCATTTTTTCAAATTGTGATTTTCTTGTTTTCCCTTTTAAAGGTGAAATTCAAAGAAGATCACAAATATGTCAACTAATGTATCACTAGAAACTGGTAAGCTAACAGATGGCCATCGGACAAGTTTTATGTCAACTACATATCGGGTGATTTATAAAAAATACAAATACAACCACGTCCATAACAGCTGGGATATACGAGAGATTCGCCGGAAAAATAACGATGTTTTAATGACGTCACTATATGGACCAACACTGCCCAAGCAGACGACATCCCATAGAGAATGAACATAATTGCAAAGCTATTATTTCTCAAATTATAATGAGTTTAGTGTATATAAATGTAATGGCATGCCAAACCATTCAAAAGGGGATATGACCCGATTCTGATAACTAAAATCTTTTGGTTGTAAATACACAGGATAGGGGTTAATTAACAATCAAAGAAACCAGACTTTCAAATTGAAAAGCCCCGGAATGATATTAAGGACGGCATTTGTTCCCTCTTGAAACGCCGAACATAGTCCGGTGTGTGCAGCTGAATATACAATGGCGTCTTATTTTGTTTACAAGCGACAGATTCCTTTATTTTTGTATCGCTGCATTTGTCATCAAAATAAAACCATGCGCGGGGTTTAGAGTGAGGCAATAGATTATAAATTTAGCCTGACGGTAGTGAAGTAAGAGAAAGAACTCAAGAGAAGATGAAAACACAGGCACTGAAAATGTGTGAGATGTCATGGGACATCGTCTGCTTGTGCAAATCATGTCCATACTGTGATCTCACACATCTCAGCAGCGTTCGGAGAGCTCTTCAGGTGCTTTGCCGGGGCTGTATTTAAGCGTTTTGTAATTTATAATAATCATTACTTCGAATGTTTCCAAGCATTGAATTTTGATAACCTTGTCGAATCAAAGTTTCAACTTTGCAATAATGAAAATAAAGTTAGTTTTTAAAATCAGTGAATATCTACTTTAACTATATATGGCTTGTGACATTGTTATTTTATTCAATGTCATTCTGAATATAATTATTGTTACTTTACATGAGTAACCCTATCATTGGAAAGATCAAAGCAGTAAGAAATCAGTGATAAGTGTTTCACTGGTCAGATTCATGACCAACACACCATTGTTGTTGAATGACATTAGTTGTTGCTGTTGTTACGGCAACAAACCGTATATTTGCTGTTTGCATTCAGGGTATTGAAATGGAATAACTTGTGACAGGCAACATTGCAAAGATGAAGAGATTGCAAATATATGTTTTACTAAATGGCCCATTTGTAGCAAACCATTTTTTAAATTTGGGTTAGCGTACAACTTGTTTCAATGTCAAGTCTGTATACCATGCCTAAACTCCCAATTTTGCACCGTACTTTCTTATTTCTCAAGGCAAGTATTGATAGTTAATAATTACGTGTAACACCAAGTTTCTTTGAATTTTATGAAATTGAATCATTATTGGAGAGAAAATGATATGACTATGTTTTATGCCAGTATTTTGTCTATTTATGTTTTATCAAACTTTTGCACATACTATAACAAGATTCTGTGTATGTTGTATTCAAATCAATAGCTTTTCTTCAATATCTAAATATTTAGGAACTGAATTGAACTTTTGTGGAACATTGAAAAGCAATGATCAGAAGGGAAGGGGGTGAATGTCCTTAAACTATGTCATGTGTGTATTCTTACTTATCCTTATAATCTCTATACTACATATTCTGCTGTAGGCTTGCCTTTGTTATGTAATATTGGTTATGTAATAACTTTCTAAAAAATATCTTTTTTAGCTTATCCAGATGAATTTGACTTTAACCGATTTTCATCAGAGCTATGGAGTGCTGGAGAGTATTTTGAAGGTTGAAATTAGTTTCAAGTAGTGTTCCTAATTTACCTAACTTTATTAATATTTTATAAACATTACCAGTTTTACATACATGTATATTCATGACAAAAGGAATCTGGTCCTCCATTCAAAGAATACATTTTAAGCATAAGAATGAATATAGGCCTATTTATGAGAAGAAACTTCTCATATGTGATATGTCATGCAGGATACAATGCGCAGTTAGTAGTCCATTTGACAAATATTTTTACTTTCAATGGTGTACATAATGATTAAATGTACTTTTTAACACTTACATTATCACAGCAGAAGTTTGTTTTGTTTAGAATGTAAGAACAAAATATTTTAAAAAAAGAACAGGAAAATGAATCGATGGGGAAAATTCATGTTCATTGTCACTAAGAATAGTGAGAATTCTATTCATACTGCTGCACAAACAACTATGAAATCATTGATATTTAAAAGGCAAGTGAATGAATTCCATACTATTATTGCCCTCCATATAATACATCTACCCATAATCTATTAACATAATATTTTGATATACATGTATTTTCAAAAGTTATTTAGGGTACATGTACCTTTGCTTTAAGATCAACTCTTATGTATGTTCAGCTCATGTGTAAAGCCAAGAGACATTAAAATGACAAGAAGAATGCAGTATCGTTACCAAATATTCATGATTTTATTGTCATCAATATGGACAAAACAGTATGTACATATTCATGTTTACAGTAACGTGTAATAAACATTGATCTCACAGTTTTATTAAACTATTTGCGCATGTTCTGGATTTCATTTTGTCGTGTATGCTAAAGGGAAGAATGTTTTAACAATGTTTTATAAACAGTGTGATGATCATGTGACATGTCATTGTGTCTGAACTTATATTTCATTTGAATCATAACAGCATTTTTTTTGTATACAGCCAGAGAAATTTAATACCATGGTCTTGTTCACATGTTACATGTAAATGCCTACACACTAGCAAAATATAAAGCCACATTATAAGGGTTAAGTGACACAAAGATGTAACTCCATATTTTGCCCAAATGAGTATTTGATATCAAAATGTTCAGAAAATGTGGGCTTTCCAGGAAACACAGAGACTTAACTCCACCCAACACCCCATTGAAGTCCATGGCTAGTGAAACATAGACTTAACTCCTTAAGGCCCAAGTGCTCAGTGACAAATAAACCACTCTTTCTCAAAATAGAGTTACGTCTTTGTGTCACTGACCCCTCGATTACTACTAAATGAATGACATGAGGTGATGTTGCGGGGGGGGGGGGGGGGGCTGCTGCTCTTAAAGCTAATCTTGAGCTCTGGCATGGGAATCATATTTTGAGAGAATGATTTATTCTATGATTGTTTATCCTGCAGTAGATTGGTTGTTTGAACCAGTGCAATAAAAACAAATGCACAAAAACTTACTGGGCATTAGCTTCAATAGAAACCACAACTCCCGTTTGCACATGTTAAGCACACAGTGACTTCTTACCTAGATTTCCTTATCTTTCTATGCTCATTACTCAGCCACCATACATTCTCTACAAAAAATGTTTTGCACATGTCATTTATTTATTATTAGTGCTGCGGCAGGGATTCAAACAGTACAAAGACTTGTATGTAGGACCACAACACCTCTACCAGTACTTGCTGTTCAAAATATATTAATGCCCATGTGGTATAATTTCCTTGTCAATACAACTGTACTATGTTATGAAATACAAATAACTCTTTGATTATAGTCCTTTTAAAGGTACTACGTCCCTTTTGCAGCCAGCATCAATTCTGTAGAGCTTTGCAGGAATCATGAATATGTTATGTATGTCCTTTTTGTGAAATTTAAACATTAGCAGTGTCCTATTATTCAAATTATGCAAGGAAACCTGTCTACCTTCTAAACGTCATTGTCAGACACTATTGAGTGACTGACTGACTGACATCCTTATTCTTTCGTAATAACATACATAAAATGAGCTGTAACAGATACATGAGCATTTGTCTACATCAATGACCCACTACTTGTAATGGATTTAATTAAATTCATTGAATCTTTGTGCAGCTCAAAATGTACGACCATTCAGTAAAAGGGTCTGAAAATCAGAATATTACTTAGGTGATTGCAATCACTGAAGTCGATTCGACAACGAATGGTCATTATTTTCCAACAAAAAGTAATTTTCAAGCCCTTTCGCCTTGAGGGAAGTTCTAAATTAGTAAAATCTTTCAAATGTTGTTGGTCTTGGAATTTCACCTTTTCATTTTTGGGGGGCCTGCAAATGGGACATAGTACCTTTAACATCAAAGTTTACAATCAACTAAACTTGAATCTGCAATACAATTCATTTGTGACTTTGCAAGGACCAGCAAATTATGCGATAAATATCAAGCATCATGGATTTTTGGAAAGAGACTGTGCATACATGAACTGATTTTCATACTTTACAACATGTAACCCAAGCATGGAGGAAGATTAATATACTCTGTGTAAAGAAATTATGAATGCAGTGATGTGTTAACTAACAATCCATCTTGTCGATTGGAGCTGTACAAGATCATAAAATCAAGTGTGAATACAAAGTCAACATACATATGCACCTATGACACCAACATGGTACATTAATCAGAACCTTCACAAAGTTGATTGGAGCTTATTCCTACATGTAATACTGATTAGTTTGCCAAAATAAGTTACATTTCAAAATTCAAAATTCAAAATAACAAATATCTCTTGGGATTGGTTGATGGGATCAAATAAGGCCAATAGTTGTCTACGGTGACAATCAGTGCGTAAATGTAGTAAACCTAATGTAGTAAACTTTCTCATCAATGCCCTTTCAACCGATGTCAATTACATTGTTTATGTTATACTCTGGAAGATGATCCACAGCCAATAGCCTGACCAACATTGCAATAGCTAATTAGTCCAGATAAGGAATTAAAACAAAGAAAAAGGGGTGGGGTAATTTGTTTGATCCATTTCCAATGAAAAGACCGGTGTTAAAAATTTGGAAAGCCGTAATCTAGGTGGGTCACTTCTGTAATTTAAAATTTACAGACAAGGAAAATCTCCTTCTTCAAGTTAGCAAAAATAAGATTAGGATTAGGATCAGTCATTGCCTGTTAGTAGCTATAGATATCAGCGAACCTTCCAAGCAAGCACCATGTGATAAATGAGACGCATTCACATAGGTCTTATGTCACTAGAGCTTCACCAGGTCATACAACGACGGCAGCAAACGGCTGACGGCTCTTTATCGTGTTATCACCGATGAAGCTGCTTATCGTTATCAGTCAAGCATTAAAGCTAAGATGGTGATACATGTTGAGACACTCTCTCCAAGGTTATGGTCAGCACTAGCTGGTCATTATCTCTTTGATGCCTCTGAGGCTGATGGTCACTGATCCTTGGTCAAAGATAGCAGCTAGAATTGTGGATGATCTCAAGAACTGTAAGGTGATGATCATACTCGTCTACCAGTCACTATCGCTTTGATACCAGTCACTATCACTTTGATATCTTCAATGCCGAGACACCTTCCACGGCATAGTTTATATCATGCTGTGTCCGAGAGGAATATCCTTGAGACGGTCAGCTGGTCACAATCTGTTTCATATCTTTGAGACTGATGTCATCGGTGAGTTTGAGAGCATGGTCAATGGCTTTCATGTTGACTAACTGCTTGATGATAAGCTTCACAAGTAGCCTGAAATTTAAAAAAAAAAAAAATTAAAGAGATATCAAGAAAATAAATTAAAGAAGAGAGAATAATGTCACTAATCAAGTAAGTCTGATCTATTAACTTTTTATCTGAATTCTTTGTATGAAAAGCACATAGCACCCCTTTATGGCCCGAATTCACAAAGAAGGTTTGTTGACAAACTAAGGTTTATGTACGTCATATGACGCGTTTTGAGACGTTTTTTACAAACCTGTTTGTAAATAACAAAAGGAGGTTTGTCGAAACAAAAGGAGGTTTGTCGACATGTCGCGAGGTTTGTCGACAAACCTCCTTTGTGAATTCGGGCCTATGTGTCTGAATCATTTATTTAGTTTTGAAATCAACATTCATTTAAATGCAAGAAGATTCCAATAAAACACAGGAATAATATTTCACAAATCGGTACGGCCTGTTCAGAGACACTTTTAAATGCCTTTCTGGCTCTAACAGATGATGTGATGACTGCTATATTCAAAACAACAAATTGTCCATACACAGTGAAACCTGTCTATAAAGACCACTTAAGGGAGACAAGAAAAGTGGTCTTGATAGGCAGATGGTCTTTGTAGACGGGTGCCTACAGTAAATGTTTCAATGAGAAATCATTTTCATGGGAAACAACAAATGTGGTCTTTGTGGACAGGTGGTCTTTGTAGACAGGTGGTCACTAAAGCAGGTTTGACTGTACAAACACCACCCACCCATCTTTCATCCACCACTTCACATATCCATCTATCTATCCATCCCTACCTGCTCTTCTTCCTATCTGCATCTGATTCTTTGGCTTGGCTCTGTATGTGACCCGCAGCATACTTGAGATATTTACAGAGGGGTTCTAGTTGTCTGAGAGTGCTGTCACCTTCTAGCTCCTCAAACCAGGCCACAGGGAGGCTGGATACAATCTACATTATCATGAAAATAAGCAGATACAATAATAATAATAATAATAATAGTGAGTTCTTGTATAGTGCTCATGTCTGTCAGACTTGACACTCCTGGCGCTCCCGGAACATGTTTTCACAAATCAGTTTCCAGGAATAGATGCAATCAAAGCAGTTTTGAACGACCTTATCTTACAAAATGAAAACAATATTTTAAAGAGACCCCCTGAGAGAATAATACTACTTTCCAACTATAGGCACAGTTGCATTTTTCATATTTTTAAATGTATACATCTGCTAACTCTTAGAGAAAGGTTTTCATTATAATAGTTTGAGAAGTTGAAAACACATGATAATAAGTATGTGCAATAAAATAAGATTTGAAAACAACAAAGCAACTGGATATTCAAGTCAGTCCTGTGCATTAATCTCAACAATATTCTTCTCAAATTCTGTACAAAGCCATTTAACTTTGCAAATCTTTGAAAGCTACTTCCTCCTCCAACAACTGCACTCTTGAGAGTTGCCAATTCAAGGATGCACTACTGATCTACAAGTAGTAGTGTTTGTTTATACTTACTCTATCGCACTTGGCTATACTCGATTCATCCACATCAGAGTTATTGAGTGAGAGAAGGAGGTAGCGATTAAGAAGACCATCTATAGCTAGCTCTAACAGCTGTTCCTTGTTGACCAGGCCATGCCATGACAACAGGTTACCTAGCAACTATAAACAAACAAAAGAATGTGCAGGTTTGTAACTTTGTATGTTATTACCTAGAATAGACAAGTATTTGGCAAGTATGATCATTATGCTGACCATCTATGATCTACATGTTTATACATTTTAATTGCTGTAAATACATCAGATTTACAATTTCAAAACTTAAAGGAACAGAAAATGTTGCATTAAATGCGACATAACTCAACTGAATGAGATGATGTCTTAATTCATGCATTTACATGTATATGCACAAAAGAAATATGTTTGATGATTGTTAGAACTTTCCAAACTTAAACATATCTCATTTACTACCTAAATAAAGCTTTCACTACTCTTCTGTTTTGCATGCTTCCCTTCAAAACAATTTAGTATCTAGGAAGTATTCCCCATGATCAATCTGCCAAGTTGAATATTCAAATTCAGCCCTTTTTAGAATTACTCAATACTACGCCATCGCCATGTTTGCTTACCTTCAAACATGACCAAAACTGTCTCTGCAGAAAGCCATTAGCACCAGAAGCCTTGTTGTCTAACATTCTGCAACAGATGAAAGGGAATACAGAAAAGGTTCATTAAATGTTAATAATAATAATATATGAGATTTGTAAGGCGCAAATTTACTTAACATCAAATGCTCAAGACGCACTTGTGAAACAACAAACAAAGAAACAAAAAAGAGATCACATAAAAGCATCTGCATTATAAATAAAGGATCAAAAGTAAGATAGAACATACAAAAATGAACAATTATTTATAGGCCAATTGCCAGCCATTATCAAAGTCCTTGAAAATGTCTAGGAAAAGACTTACTCTGCAGGAAAGAGAGGCATGTAGACGTCATCGTCTAGGGTCCTTCGTATTCTCATCACAACAGACTTGAGAAGGAGCTGAATGAGGGGGGAAAAATTGTAATGTAATTATCATCGAAGTGGCTTCATAGTCGATCACATACTATAAGCACTTGACTAGAAATGCAAAGCACTGGACTGGAAATGCAAAGGTCAACACGGCACTTATGTCCTTCAGCAAGAAATTAATTGCATACATAATGAGCCCTGTGACTTTTTGACCTTGTAACCTGAAAATCTAATCAGTCCATTGGCTCTGCAAGATACATATATGACCCAAGTTTGGCAGTGATCCATCAATCGGTTCTTGAGATAACGCGATCACAAGCTATTTTTGCATGCATAATGAGCCCTGTGACCTTTGACATTTGACCCCAAAATCTATTCAGCTCATTGGCTCTGCAAGGTACATACATGACTTAAGTTTGGCGGGAATCCATCAATAGGTTCTTGAGATAACGCTATCACGAGAACTGGACCTACGGACGGACAACCCAAAAACATAATGCCTCAGCTACAACAACAAACAAGATCGACACTCACTCATTAAAGTTAATTTCTTAACACATATTATTTTCAATAGCAGCGCTTCACCAACCTGTGTGTTCTTGTTATCAGCAGAGATTGTAGGATAGTCCTGAGCCAGTTGATGTAAGGTGTCTATGAGACGATGGGTTTGTAATGTAGACATAGGGTCCCATACTTCCTCTACTAGATCTGTGTCAAAACAAACGGTCAAAATGCTGATAATGATAGTACGGTAATCAGAATGGTAACAATACTGCCAAATGTTCTGCTTTGTACTTGCCATGCCAATGACAAAAAATAATAACAATATACTGTTCTATGTGCAAATTACTTCAATGTTTTTATGTTGCAGGCACAATGAATTTAGAGCTCCCAAGAATGCCCCCCCCCCCCCCCAGTCAGGAGGGAAGACCTGCTGGTCATAGTAATCTTGAATTGCTTTTTCTCTTCCAGGTAGCTAGGGGGATCAACCTTGTGAATGAATAAGTATTCATTGTGTTCTTTTAATTTGTTATAATTACGTTTTCATTTTATGTCTATTGCATGTGTGATTTGTATGAAATTGGCAAATAAAAAATAATTATAATAATTACTATACAGATAAAGCAGTAAGGATAAGAGAAGAAAAGCTGTCTTTATAGACAGGTGCTTTTTACGAACAGGTCCCTTTCCTACACGGTTCAGAGAGTAATGCTATTTCAAAGCCCTGTTTCATACAACTTGTTATCAATAACACTGCTTAATTTCTATGCCAAATTTGCTCTCAGCCAATCAAATGCCACGATTTCAGTAGCTTAGAACAGTTATATTGACTTGTCATTGATAACAAGTTTTATGAAACATGGCCTGGGGAGACAAATAATGTAATTGAGGTCCTTCTAGAGAAGCAGTCTTTCCGCATAATGGTTGGTACAGCAGGTTTGACTGTTTTTGTGATGCAATTTTTGATTATAACTGTAGGGAAAGCTATGGGTTGCCAAGAATTGTTGCCAAGGGTTTAGCAAAACTGCAAAAATGATAGGCATGGGGGAAAATCCCCCCAACCTTTCACCACTTTGAGAAAGATCACAGTCGACATACCTGAAAGTTTTGGTAAGACAATCTTCTCGATGATGCGAGGGATGAGCTTGATGTCATCGTCTTCCCGGTCGTAGTCGTCTTCATTCCTGAAGCCATAGAACATGAGCGTATCGTACCACGGGAATGACTCCATGTCCTTAGAATTGGCCTCAAGAGGGTTCCAGCAGAGAAGCTCAAGACGGACGAACGGCTCACACAGTTTGGGTAAACACAGACCGATGTAGGCATCGGAGTAGGAATCCCCTTGGGAGAACTTCCAGCGTTGGAATCTATTTACGATGGCTGGCAGCGAACAGAACTCTTCCTCAACATCCTCGAATACTTTGGCTTGCTCGGTTACGATGCATTCTGGATGATACAAATTATCAAGTAATAAATGTTATGTAAATCGTCTACATTTTAATGAACTTTCATTTCTATTGTACATATAGCATGGGAATCAGTTTCATCTCTTTACCAATATTCAACTGTTTTGCTCTAAATTTGATATTTTAGGGTTACCGGTACTAATTGTTATTTGTAATTAATGTTGTCACTATTAAAGATTCAATGCCCCTCAGATATGTACGAGACAGGAGTATGTTAAAAACCTTTTTTCACATTGACACAACTCATGGATTGTATGTGCACCCTTCATAATGTGTAAATCAAACAGCATCAGAGAACTGTTGTAGGCAATAACACCAGAAGCTTTGCATATTTCGCAAGTGGACGAGGTTTGCATAATTTAAGGATTGATTTGTAAAAGTATCTAAATAAATAAAAAGCCTTTATCAATAATTCACGAATTGACAAAGTTTCTGATATACCAGTCAGGGAGTGTGACAGTTAGTCCTGCCTGCCCAAGTGGTGTTAGCAGAGAAAATTACTGTAGAAGTACACATGAGTTTGTCTAATGATAACTACTGTTCTGAAGGTACCTTTTTCTGTCTTGAACTTGACCAGCATACTGTCTGTGACTTCATCATCGCTGGAAGTACCATGATTGTGTTCTTGAAATTGGTTCTCTGTCTTCCTGGCTCTTCTTCTCCTCGCTCTGAACAGATAGGAATCGATGAATAGATAAAATAATGTCATAATTTTTGTTTTACCAAAGGTCCACAAATGGAGTTCATTTCAATAACCCATTTGCAATATTTAATATTCTCACATGAAAATCTACATATCAAATGATATGGTACTTACTATATAGTATATAGATGGCTCAATGGATGAGCTGTAGCTCATAGATGGGAGGTTCAGGGTTCAAGAGCAGGTAAATGCACTAGTGGCCTTAGGTAAGGCGTTAATCCTTAGACTAAAATCTGCCATAAGACTGTTAGAAGCATACGAGTGGAAGTATTTTATAAAATTATGGGGCTTTTATAAATCCTCCTTAAATGAGGCAAATACATGTATTATGACAGAGCTTTAAATGGCCATGCTGAATTATATCCCGGCTTCACTCAAAGACGTAGACCAGGATCTAACAGGAGTAAACCTAGGACCCATTTCACAAAGCCTTTTTCAATGACTAATAACAAAAATAAGTGACAAATCTACTGATACCCAATCAGAAGTAGGGATTTCACTAGCTTATAACAAAAACTGTCATTTGTCAATGATGACAAGTTTTGTGAAATGGGGCCAGGATTGAGAATGAAGTCAATAACCTACTTAACCACAATCCATCCCTGGGCTTTCTTACCTCCTTGCTTCCCTCTCAGCGCCTCTCCTTTGCCTCGCCTCCTCGTCAACCCTCGCTGCCTTCTTCTCGCTCCTATTCATGTTTGACCCTGCTGCTGCCTTGTGGGACATCCCCATGAACTCTACGGACTGGTCCTTGATGTCCTGCTGCCGTCTCTCAAGAAGCTGATTGGCTCGATTCTTGGAGATGGTCAGCGCGGCCGTCTCAAGACCGTTGATGAGAGGGAGCTGGTGGGTTCAATGAGAGAGAAAATAGTTGAGTACCAGGAAGCTGAATTCACTAAATTTAAATCATTCTGTATTAATTATGAAATACTTTGAACAGTATTGTATATAATAACAAAGAACTACCGGTACATTTTGCTGTTATATAGCCAATACACAACACTTTTTCTTTCAATTATCCTGACATAATTTGCAGTAACCAACTAACCATACCCCTAACCATCTAAGAATAAGATGTAAAAAACTAGTCTGGAAAAACTGACAAACATCAAATGAGGAAAAACACAGTCCTTAACCTGTTTTAATACCCCCCCCCCAAAAAAAAAAAAAATAATAATAATAATAAATAAATAAATAAATAAATAAATAAATAAATAAATAAATAAAATTTAAAAAAATTAAAAATAAAAATAAAAATAAATAAATAAATAAATAAATAAAAACAAAAAATAAAATAAATAAAAAATAATAATAATATTAATAATATAATATTAATAACAATAATAATTATTATAATAAAAATCAATCAATCTATCAAAGTAAATAAAAGAAAATGTGATAACTTGATCAAGCATGCCCAGAGATACCTGATATTAGTGGTTCAGTAGATTACATATTGCAAATGGTAAATTGTATGTGCTAGGATTAACATGGGAGCAATATAATATTTGCAGGCAAGAAACAGATCTCAACACAAGGGATATATGCAACATGTTGATTAAAGGTAAACTGAAAGTTCAATTAGGAAGGTTTTTTAAAAAGGAAATAGATGTATAAACAGGCACTACCTGAAAATTAAAAACAACAATATTATATACAAATACAAGTACAAAATAATAGTCAATGGTTAGAAACAAAGTACAATACACACACAGAGAAATAAAAATGACATTAGAGAACACAATACTCTAACACACATTGTGTGAATCATAAACTGTTAAAACATCAATGACACACACACAAAAAGGCATGTACTTAACAATGAACATATGCATGTATTTATAGGATACAAATTTAGCTTGAAGGAATAAGCCACAAAAATTTACGAATAAATTCCAGGTAACAGAGGGGTAAGAAGATGCACCCTTGTTACATAAGACGCACCTTTTCATCCAGACATTCTACAAGGTCTCTGACATACCCCCTCATCTCTTGGAAGAAGTTGTACTCGCTGGAGACGTCTCCCTGGGTGTCCCGGAGGTTGGTGGAGCTGAGGGCAGCGTCCTGCAGCCTCTCAGAGTTGTTGTCGCTCTCCCGCAGATGGGCGTTGTGGATCTCTTGTATAGATTCAAGTCTAGATGACAACATGAAAACATTAGTTTAATGACATCTCCAAATATTGTGTGACATCTTGTAAATGTAAATGAGACCATTTCTGTCTCTCTGAATTAAAACAAAAGGCATCTGCAATACAAATATAAGCAAGTGAATTTAATTTGTTTTTTAGAATCCAATGTACTCTTTAGCTCAGTGTGGCATGACTTTACGAATTTAAACGGGACACCTCGTTTTTCACAATATCATTCAAATAACCACAAAACAGCAATAACTAAGTGCGGATTCCTAAAAAGCCTAACCCCAACTCACCTTTGCTTCAGCCTCTTCAACACTCCCTCTACATTGATCTCTGGTAGCTTCGTGGGTAGAGACAGGGCATTGGGGACCCCGCCCATGGGCTGCTCTTGGGGCGACTCCACCCCTGTAGCGTAGGCCGAGCCATACACCAGGCTCTGGTCAACGGCAGGGTAGGCCGTGCTCTCTGCAGGATAGTAAGCATACTGCTGCTGGGGATAGTAGCTAGTCGGGTCAGGGGTCGAGGTGCCGGTGCTGGGACCGCTTGGCTGCATCTGAAGGTAAGATCAGAGAGCAGTTAACACAATGAAGGTTGGATTCTTATACATTGAAACAATACTACCTAATATACCAAACTTCCTAGTATTCACAAATTCATTTCTAAACAGATTCAATAAAATTATGACCTTTTTTACATCCACTACCTCTCTTATCCGTTACAGGCTGTAAACTATTATTATACCAGTATCAGAAATTAATTCCTTATCTTATAATGATATAACCATCTGGTCGTTTAGCAGAAAATTTGAAAATTGCGCTGGCCGAAAAGTCGGTCAGTGGGGGGGAGGGGGGGTTGGGGTAGTGAGCACTATTATTATTTTTTTTTTGTTGCTCCCGAAAAATTTCCAACTCGCGCCGAAAAGTCGCTCAGTGGGTGGGGGGGGGGGGGGGGGGGGGGGGGGGGGGGGGGGGGGGGGGGGGAGTGAGAACATTTTTTTTTATTTTGCTCCTCAAAAATTTAAAAATTGGCACCCCCCCCCCCCCTTCTTGAGCGCCGGGGGGGGGGGGGGGGGGGCCAAAACCCCCCAAAAAAGGAAAAAATCACGTGTTTTTACATGATTTTTTTCCCCCGGGCCCCCCCCCCCTGGATCCGCCACTGTTGTTTAGAATCATAACTTCATTACCATTCAAGACACAAAGCATGAGAGCCAGCATGTGTTCCATATTTGGCCCTCACACTTCTATTTGATGGTTTCTAATTTCCCTACCATCTTCTGGGGTTCAGCAAACCAGTTCAATCCACTTGCAGGTACACTGTACGTGTTTAAAACACACGCACAAAAAAAGGGGGTGACAAGTGTTGTGTCACCGAATGGATGCCAGATGTTGCCATGGGGACACCTACCATTTGTTTGACAAACATTTTGGTACTGTGTCATCACTAGAGGTACGCTACCATTACTCTTTAAATAAGGTCAATTTGAATGGTGGTGGTGGTTATTTTACCTGACTGCTAAGAAAGCATAAATGCTTGTAAGTAAGCAACCAGACGGCCGACGGCTTTAGGTCCTCTCCGAGGGACCTAGTAATGAGGATTAATACCTTACCAAAGGGCACAATTTGATTTCAATGTTTGACTCTCTTTCTCTTACACCAACGTCATATTCTGTGATTTGCATGCATGTGAGGTGTTGCCATGGGGACACCTACCGTTTGTTGGACATACAATTGGTACTGTGTCATCACCTGTGGTACGCTGGTACCCTTTTGATCTGCTCCTGCTCCCATCTCTCCAGCTCCTCGTTGTGATCCTCATGTTCCCCGCTCTTGACCTCTGGGCTAAGTCCTCCTGTAACCATGGAAACCAGGTCAAAGTATTATTGGTATATTCAAGTGAAATCAATTTACATTAATGGTGAAACTTCCATCCAGCATTGAAGACTGCTTTTCAACAAGTCAATGTAGGATTTATTGTAATGGAATATGAATCATGTTAGGACTCCATTTTTACATTTCTAAACATGTTCTTGAGTCATCAAGGCAGTTCTATGATCCATGATCAGGCAACTTTATGCTCTAAAGTCAATCAAATTTCTAACTTCAAACCCTCAACCCAACACTAAACCCGACTCTAAACCCCTGGCCCTAAATCGAACATAAAGCCTAATCGCAGCCCTCACCCGATATCTTTGACAAAATAAAAAGCTGGGAGCAAATGTTGACAGAGTGAATTGAGGGTCACCAACTTAGTTACTGTAACTTGCAAAAGAATGACATGACCAAAAAAGAGTTGAAGAAAGTTGCCATGAAACAGAACCTTACCCTTAATCCTTTTTCTTACTACGAGCCATTAAAAAAAGAATCACATTGAGAAGCATGTTATACGAGGAACGTGTTGGATTTAAAGGATTAATTTAAAAGATATCAAGAATAGGTTAATTAATGAGATGTACGGACCTGCGTTCAATGCTTCCTGGACTCTTTGACGACTGGTCTGATGTTTCACACTGAACACCATTCTACCCTCATCACTATCACTACCATCATTATCATTATCATCATCACGAACCAGACGGGACTTCTCCGACTGGAAACGCTGGGTGTCGTCCACAGGAATGAAGTCAACTCTCTCGCGGGCCGCTTGTCTCCGCTTGCGGGCCGCATGTATCAGATTGGCATTGGGTATGACGCCTGTGGAAGGGGGAATGTATAAATGAGGTTGAACGTTACATTAACTGCAGGCTAGTATATGCTGCATGTCATTCCAAATCTGGATGAATGTGACGTGACCTTCATCATGCCTCCTACTACATTCTTCATGTGTATACTCAGTCGATTAAAACCTTTCAAAGTTTTGCTAATGCTGACATCTCATCTGTATTAAAATGACTCTGAATTTGTAAAGATGCATCAGGCATCAAATACAAAATGCGAGAATTCTGTCTCATAAACATACAACGGAACCAAAAAAAGTATCATGTAAACTGACATGCGTGACCTTTGGCAATAGATTAACAACTCCAAATTCTAATCACTTCATCTTTCCAGCTTCACGCACCAAACAACCTTTCAAAAAAGTGAAGTTGCAATGCAGAATCAGAAATGTACTGATTTAGAAGGTGGTTCACTTCACTCCGGGGACTAACCTGGCATAAAACCTACAAACTCTGTCTTCTTGCTGATCTCCTCCAGGTCTTCCTGGGCTAGAGCTGCTGCTTCTGCATCCATACCATTCAACACCACATCCCTCTTCTCTTCCCTCTCCTCCTTCTTGATGGTCCTGGGGATGTCATCCTTCTCTTGTTTGATGATGGGATCACTGCCAAGTCCTCCCCCATTCTTATGTGCTACGATATCTGTAAAGAAATAGAAGTAACATTCAGTCAAACCTGTCTATTAAAAGGCCGCCAAAGAAAAACAGAAAAAAGTGGCCTTTATAGAAAGGTTCTACAACACATTTATTTCTAGAGAGGGACAAAGTGCATGATCACAATAGACATGTGGCCACTAAAACATGTTAAACTGTAATTATGCATCAGCAAGGATTTTTTTTTTTCAGGAATAAATGAGCAAAGTGCTATTCACATTTTAGTACACAAAGTTCTTAAGTTCTAAAGTTGTACTACAGCAACAATCAGTAATTTGAACTTATTTTTTCAATTCTATTTCACAAATGAAAGCTCTAGAGATGTATTGTAGTAATTTTTTACACTATTAACCCCTGATTTCTTAGATATAATACTTGACCGACTTGAAATGCTAATTAATCTAATCAATTTAGTATCCTTAAATATCTCAGCAAATCTGATCACTTGCTCTTGAATAATAAGAATTTACAATTTGGTAAAATTGAAAAGACTAAAGAATTCAATAATGCTTTCTTTCTAAATCTCTAAGTCTTACCTGGGCTCCCTGCAGGCCTGTCCCCTTGGTCTCTCAATTGTTTCTGCCTTTCTCGTACTTTCCTTGCCTGCTTCCGGCTGTGACTTGACTTCTTGATTTGAAAAACTTCTGCACCTAAAAGAGAAATTAAACAATCATTAGACTAAATTGAAATTTGTGACATTATCGTGAAAGAGGAAACTATATGGCGCTCCGCAAAGTAGTGCTAATTTCATCCCACACATTGTTTCCTCTTACTTAGTCTTACTCACCCACTCCACTCTCAGGCTGGCTAGAGTCACCAATGCGAGATGGCTCTGTTGTAAAATAAGTCGCAAGGCGCATTGACTCTTTTGCCCACGCAAAGTTTGTTTGCTGCTGCTCACGTAGAACTTTGCACACTGTACCATGGCATGCGTTTTCAAGCTCCCATTGGCCGATCCGCTCAAGTGGCTTTGAATTTAAGTGAGAGAGGGCCTACCTAGCTTGAGCGCAACTTAAGTTCAATGGCAATGTTAATAGAGTCTACGTACTAATAGAGTTTTCGGTCACAGAAAAAAAAAACAATCCTTATTTTTGCGAACGCATCTGTCCGCGTTTACGAAGATGATCCTTATTCAGCGCCCGTAGGGCCGTATGCGTACCACTATCTACTTGGCCTAGGCTACCACAATAAAGCCAAATTTTCTTTTCTAGCTTTACTGACATGATTGATTATCAACTGAAAACCAAACACCTTGACATCATTCATGCCAAAGACAAAGTCAAATCAAAAGTCTAAGAAACAATTTTTCATTTTCAACATGTTCAACTGGAGCCGTTCAACTTCAACTTGTTCAAGTTCACTAAAATTTACATCTCAAATTCTTGTCAATGTTAGTTTAAGGTACATCCACAAAGTTGTAATGCAGCTCTTACCTTCACCATCGTCTTCATCATAAGCAAACGTTAGCAGACTGGACCCCTGTTTCTTCTTCTCTGACTTTTCTTTTTTCTTCGTAGTTTTTTCCTTCTCGAGCTGTTTGATTTGTGTGTGGTAATCGGTCTCCAAAAACGGGATTTGATCTCCTTTGGTACTCACTGGTTTAATTTTTCCTCATCACTGTCACTAGACCTGCCCCTCTGACGAATATTACGTTTCTTTTTCATCATCTTGATGCTTTTAAAGGCAGATAGATAAGGAAATCGAAGTCATTGGTCTCGTTAACTCATTCCGACATGCCGGAAAATGTAGAAGCAGTCGATTTTGTGTACAAAAACTGCATAGCGTATGTCGCACGTTATTTGTATGTAAATTCGCTGAAGGCAACCATCGCTGCATCGTTCGGCACCGTTAAATGTATAGTACGAGAAATGGGAAGACAATCCTTGGAGGTAGCAGCGAATATCATAGATAAACCAACCTCGTCTCCGGTTATGAATGAACGAATACTAGTAGTGACCAATGGGACCTGGATTTACATTTCCAAATGTTATTGATGTATTTTGAACAAATAAGACATAATTACAATGCGTGCTATAACAAAATATTGTTATCACCCCTCATCTCCCCAAAACTGCAGATTTTGCATAGCCACTCAAATGTGTGAACCTAATTGAGAGCGACTGAGGGAAGGTTTTCTCAACTGATTTCATCCAAACTTACTCGCTACGCTCGCTCGCATTCGTAGTTTATCTTATTGAATAACAAATATATTAATATCGAAAGTCTTATTCATTCCATAATTATGAGATTGTGCTTACACCACCACCAGGATCGGAACGATCTAATAATAAAAAACAATTAGTCGTAATGTTACCTTAAAGTTGGAAAGAAGTCGGTCGATACATGAAGCCCGTACAAGCTTTTTTAAGTGGGGGTTCTTAGGTTGCAACTTTGAGCCTGAAGGTGAGAATGGGCATTGCGAGGGAGCAAAGAATATTTAGCGGCGAATAAACGGGGGGGGGGTTGTAGAACTTTTTTTTTTAAATCAACGCCCCCCCCCCCCCTCGCGCCCCCTCCAAAATAATAATAATAATAATAATATTTTTGTTTTAAGTGGGGGGGGGGGGTTCGCGCTACCCCCCCCCCCCCCCCCCCCTCCCACCCCTAGTTTGTACGGGCCTGCCATTCATATAGAAAATACCAATGATGGAGGTGATTCATAAATATCCTGTTACCCCTTCGAAAAGAACGTTTCCTCCTGTGTATTAGTCATTGAAAATGCTTAACGACCGGGGGTTGCAGAAGCGTATCGCGGATTCTCGAGCCGAGGGTATATTGTACAGTGTTAAGAGAGCATGTTTTATTTATCTATAATTAATCAATCATCTTTTGAATTATCTGCTAAATTACATTGAGTACGCTTTGTATCATGCATCTTTTACTTCGCGACTGAATCATGATTCACTAAACGGAAGAAATGTACGAGGCCGCTGATAATTGTTCTTTTCAAAAAAAGAAAGAATGAAATTAAAGAAAGAAAGAAAAGGAAAGAAAAGTAAAGAAACTAAAAGAAAAGAAAGTATATAAAGAAAAAAAAAAGAAGGAATGGAAACCGAAATAATGAATGATAGGGAGCTGCATGCACGGACTAACTAATTAGTGTTGTCATCCCAATAAGTTGTAAATTTGTGGTTATCCATCGCTGCATGGAGAATCACTGTATCACTGTATCAGCCAGTCTTCTCTTTTGTAAATGTCGCCCTCTAAACAAAGTTGATGACAGTGAAAAATGCAACTTTTGGAGGACAGCTAATAATGAAACGAATTGTGTAAACTTGAGTAAGAACCAAACATTAGGTCACGTAAATACATTAAGTGCTTTGGGGGATCTTGGTGGATGACAAACTTACCTATGAAAACACTGGTTGGAATATGATTATTTGTTAAACCATCGCCTACCAGAACCGGTTGTTCCTGTATAACGTCCGTGGAAATAGGAGAATTCAGTAGTCAATAGGTTAAAAATGAATCTGAAGTTGTTGGAGCTGTAACTTAAGTTTATTCGACAGCCAAAGTATATCTGGCGGTAATACGCCAGAGATGTAGACGGGGAGAGAGATAGAGGTGGAGATAGACAGAAAGAGCAAGACAGAAAAGGAGAGGGAGAGAAAGAAAAATAAGATGATTATGGTGGTGGTGGTGGTGGTGACGATGATGATGAGACTTCTCTATTTTCAAACTAGACTCATGTAATTACGTGATTTAGAATATTCTTTTGTTGACAAATTTGAATGAAGATTAACGGGACTGTACTGGGTATCCGTGAACAGATGGGAGGGGGGGGGGAGGGGAGGAGGTTGTAACATATTCAAAAGAGGAATTTCTCGAGGCGACAGCATAGGTATGTCTTACAGAGAGACAATCAGGGGATAGGCTATGGCACTAGTTTAGAACATTTATGATAATAATAATAATAATAATACTCAGTTCTTTTATAGCGCATAACACATTACAGGATAGCATGTCCCTATGCGCTTCAAATAGAAAGGAAAAAATTACAAGAACAAGTCATACACAATAGAAAATCCACTTAGAAGCAAAGAAGTAGTAGTGTTGATGTTGATGTTGCTTCTAACGTGACAAGCCCAACAAGCCTTGAACATTTTTATTGTGAAAAAACAAACATAACACCAACCTATACACACTAATATTTGGCTACCATTTAAGCACTTTACAACCTTATTTACGTGGGAGACGAGGTTG